AATTACCATTCTAAATCATGTTGTGCTGCATTGAACTTTTAAATGAAGTATAGATTTAAATGAGGAATCAAGCATGTACTGATACCATGGCAATGAAGTAGCTATTTGTGTAGAAGACTTTCTCATTTTGAATGAAAAAATTTCTGCAAACGTAGGATGAGAATAAATACATAGAATTCTTAAGAATAATATTATATGATGATCAGAAGAGAGAGCAGGATTCCTTCTGTTGATAGGTTTGGGTAAGTAATAAGTCCACAATGATCATATCAAGACTCAAACCTTGCACATGAGACGTTTGTAGAAAATAAACTCATTTAAATATGTGAATAATATACAAGTATTTCCAAATTTATTTCTGAATATTAAAATTGTGCCCTCCAATGTCTCCTAAGGATATGGTATAGCCAATAGCCTGTCTCTTATACACATCTAGATGTGTATAAGAGACAGTCTACGGACATCATTCCTACTAATTACTTGTCCTACATCTCCTCTGACTGTCCGTGAGCAGCCGGTGTTGTCTTGGCAGCTTGGAAGTGATTGACCTGATTATTAGCCTGTATTAATATAATATAACATAATATAGTGATGTCGGCGCTGAAGAGTAGGCCTGATGTGGCCTGTCGCCGATTCTTGAACTTTCCGTGACTTGTTCACAGAAGATCTAAAATCGTATCATTTGACCGGATTTTTTTCAGGACTGACGATAGTTTGAAATAGCTACTAGACTTCCACCGGGTTCGATATGGTGCTTGGAGAGATGATGCGTTGTTCAGGTGCAGTGAGTCTCATGACATTTTTGTGCTGCAGTAGGGTACTGAATTGTTTATTAACAATTCATCCTTGTATTAGTTCAACCATGGATTTTACCAGCAGAGCTTCAAACAAGAAATCAAAGTAAAACACTTGAAAGCAACTGGGAAGCGTACATGAAAAATAAAAATTTAGATTCATATACTAAATTTAAGCGAGTTATCATCAAAAAGTTGTCAATATCAAGATATGATCAAATTGTACAATAAGCAACTAATAAATTAGAAATTATATTATTTAAAAATTATTTCAAGTGAGTCCTAAGAAAAATAACTAGGTACGCTCTGCTATCAGAGTAATTAAACACATATAATTTGTTGGTGTCAGAGATAAATACAATACTATATAAATAGATAAAAAATATATATTTCGATAATAGAGTACCAGATCAAGGTTTAATTGATAGTTAGCTGATACTCCCTGAACTTTTGTCTCAGATTTAAACACCTTAGCCGCGACGTCATGTTGGTTAGTAAAGAGTCATGAACACCAAATTTTTGTCGAGTAAGAATAGTTGCAGTTAACGACATTTCTCTTACATTTCAAGGTCGTCATATTTTTATACCAAACCCTTTCGTTACTCAGCGTTTAGCGAAGAAAATGGAAGGGCTAGTACAGCTTGACATCAAACCTCAGGATAATATAGCCTACACGATGGCAACATCCTATATAGTCCACGGGAAATACAAGGTCACAGAAGGATTACTAGAAGTTGAAACGTGAACCAGCACCAGGGGCCACGGCTATAAAGTAAAAAAACTGCGTTGGAACACATCCACGCGACGACATTTCTTCCCGCTTCGCGTCATCGACATGTGGAACAGCCTCCCTGATAGCATCGTTGACGCTCCGAGTATGAACGCCTTCAAGAACAAACTAGACGCANAACGTTTAGCGTATTTTATGTATTTATATTGTGGAACAAGCGGGTACCTATTTAATTATATATAGAGCGTCAGTACATTTCTCACTCAACTGCTACAATAATACGCTGGCATTCGTATAGTGAACCGTTGATTTGTTTGACACAATTATTGTTCAAAGGTGGCTGGTAAACTACGCATATAAACTGCACCAAACTACTCACTACGCCTCCCCGGGCTTCTTGCTAACCATCGCTTGTCCGATCCTCTTCGCTCTGCAAGGCGCCGTGGTGAATAAGTCTGGCGTCACTGTGGACTCGGGAGTGGCCCATGCTGTGCTCTGGACTGTGCTCGTCGGCATACGATTCAACATCATCAAGCAATGGTATAATCAAATTCGTAAAATAAATAGTAGATAACTTAATTCAATTATGGTTTCATCAACATATTTATCAGGTTTCTTCTTCATTAATACGTTCGCCAGATAAGAAGGTTTCAGTAATGATGCTAAACATTGTGCGATGATCGTCAAACGAATTCTCGTTTACTGAAAACTGGTTTAGTTTACCGGCTCAGATTCTAAAGTATAGTACCTGAGCAGCTGAAACTATAATAGGCACATCTTTCACATCGACCACGTCAAATAATAAGTTTACAGCAATTGTATATAATAAACATTGTGCCATGATCGTTAAACGAACTTTTGCCTACTATAAACAGGCTCATTTTACCGATGCAGCTTCTAAAATCTAAAGTATCTTACCTCACTTCCCGAGACAATAAAGAGCACTTCTCGGGCATCAACCACAGGTCTCTCGGTGAGGACCGTCCGTTTTGGTGGGTGTCGGAATCGCCTCACTTCACGTGGCAACGTATCCCCGACTTACGCCAGTTTCCCGTCACTTGTTTGACCAGCCCCGCGGCTCCGCTCTTCAGCCTCTTGGCCGCGGGGGCTGGAATCGTGATCGTGAATGCCGCTGTGAAGCTCATAAAATCCATAGAGTTCAAGTAAGTGCGGTCGAGTTCGACCTTTAAATTACGACTCATGGTTTATGTTGAGTCAAAATCGATTTATTGTAACCTTGTTATAAAACATAAATTCGATGATTCGTATAAAGAACAGAATAAAATTGTTGTGGCGGAAGCCGCAAAGCTGTCAATTGAATGTTTTCACGGCAGAGCAAGAACCACTTAGTATACAACTCCGGTAAACTGTTCACATGATGTAAGAAAACGTCCAAATTTGTTCAGGAACGCAAGACAACGACGCTGGATTGTCATTGGCACGTGGCTGAGTTTCGGAGTGTTTGTCGGTTCGGTGGCTGAGGCAGAAATGTTGTTCTCGACGAATTTCCCCCATCAAGTTGCTATCTCGCTTGCCATTGGTGAGTTTTTGTGAAATATTTACCTTCTTTATAGAAATATTTAACACATATACGGCTCTATAGAAACATGTAAAAAATATATCCCTACACTCAACCGGAATTGGTAACTTCCGACGGCTAACATGTGGTTCTCATTTCCAGGTTTGTCTATAGGGTACGTTGCCACTCGCAGGAGTTTCTCAGGCGTCGCCAGCATCAAGAAAATCTTACTTGTAAACTTAGTCATCATGGCCCTCTGCTACTTGGCCATGTGGAGAGGGTGGGTGTAGGAATTACTTGAAGAATTATTCATTCTTAAGAACTCAACATTCAAACATGCTAGTAGAATAAGGTACCGTTGCACGACGGCCGAGCAATGCCCAGCTTAGGTTGTTCGATAATGTCTAGTCTTTCGTTTGAGCAGTGAAGCCATTGCTACATTCAACGATTACCAGAAACTGGTATTCAAATGGTGCCAAAGAAGAGAATGGATGCAGATTGACCCAAGTCCGCTCCTCGACTCATTCCTTTACACGGGTTACGCCATCGGAGCAGAACTCTTGAGAAAATCTTCCTATTACAAGCGTGTCAACAAACCCAAGTAAGTCGTAAGAAATGTTGAGTTAAAATTCATCTCGTTAGCGCTTCACATATTTATAGTATAGCAGAAGTGAAACAATTTGTCGCATCCCAATATGGCGAATCCCAGTTCCTCATCATTATGGACGTAAGTATTTACTATACTTTTCTTGGAGTTCCAAAACAACAGTCACAGTTCAATTCCCTATCCTAATATTTGTATTGATAATGCCTTCATTGACTATTCAACCATCGCAACGGCACCTTCGTGTTTTATCACTAGTACACTCACCTTATTATTGTCCCACGCATCTACAATGGCAGACTCGCAATCTAAATTAAATTTTCAGGTTCACATACAAGATGATAATTTCCCTCGTAATACTGAACCTCGGGGCTGCATTGGCAATAGCCCTGATTTTCGACGCCATTCCGAAGACTCTAAAGCAACCTCACGTCTACGCTTGGTACGCGGCCCAGCTTGTAGGGGGCATCCTGATCCCTTACAGCTACGGTGCTGTGGTACCGTATTTCGTGCAAAAAGTATCTGGAGTTCCACCTCTAAAAATTGTCAGGTGTCTGTTTCTGCGACCACCTGATTGATTTGTACTGAGGGTCTGGGTACTATTGTTCCAAGTGTGACTAAGGCAGGACAAGTGAAACACGATTAACGCTAGAACTATTATAATAAATAAGTGGCTCGGTGAGTACAGAAGGACGGGGATTGACAGGTACAGCACAAGTATGTGCCGGAGGAGCGGCTAGCAAGATGACGGCTAGGCAGTACCGCTACAACTGACGAGCGGTGCACTGCTCTGGCTATATATAGTCCTTAACAGGGATGACGTCACTAGGCGTGACTCTATCATGTGGGTACAGAACAAGCTATTAGATGGTGACGTATTATAACCTAGATGGTGATAGAAGATCACCGGACAAAATTAAATGTGCTCATTGTGTTTGAAAAGATTTTTACTACAAGCTAAGCTCATCTACTCTCATAAGAACCTACAGAAAGTGATTAACATTATTTCTGTCTTTTATCAGAATTGATACGGCGTTTTTTGATCATTAGAATGTGATTCACGTCGATGCAGGTTAGATTATCCGTCTAAGAATTGCAGCTTTGCCGTCACAAGGTGCAACAAGAAACCAACGTCCTCAAAACTAATTATACTTATAATAACGAATTTCAGGAATAAAGAGAGGAGAATAATTTTGGTGAATCAAAACACTGGACTTTAATGCCATTTGCAGATTATTATTTTCAGTAAAAACCCAAAAAATAACATGTCCAAACCGAAGAAAATAAAGAGGACCACTTTAGGCGTAAAGATGGAATGTGGCAGAAGCGACTGCCTTTGAAGTGCCGATCAAATTATAGCGGATCATTAAGATCACAGCGCACAAGAAAATATTCCTGGGTTCAGTTCAAGAACATACGTTAACACTAGTTAAGATAAGTTCAATTTTGGGAAGGAGGGCAATGTTGCCGGAAAAGTTCGTTATACGACACCGTAAAGAATATAAGTTTGTTGCAGAACAATAGGTCTAGGGGACGTAAAAAAACATGACGACCATTTTCTTGGCCGCGGAACGCAAATCACGGTACCGTTTGGAGTCGATACAACATGTAATCAACGCAGCATGTGCATTAATCTAAATTCTAGATTGCAAACAAGGAATAGGACAGAGAGCGCGAGAAAAGACGAGGGGTGCTCGGGAGCTACCTAATTAAAAGTGTTTAATAAGTCGGCCTTACAGCACGTTGTAAATTTCATAGTGCATTATTTTAAATTAAGAAATGAAAAAAGTTTAAAATCGTCTAGAAGAAACCATTCGGCACTTCTGCGCCTTACAATTCAACAATGGACGAGGTGTCTGTAAATAAATTCCTATTTTTGCAACTACTTCTATTAGGTTAAACAGCTTAGTTCTCAAAGAAAAAAAGACATTAACTCCAAACATTCTTATGAATAGGCACACTTCAGAATAATGATAATTCATTAATAAAACCCTTAAAATCCACTAGGGAATACGTATAAGGAAGTCAGTCCCAACATCATTAGTTCGTGATTGAGCGAATCTCAAGTAGCATGGCTTGCCGCCATTACCCTTACTCACACGGTTACCCCTCCATGTAGAATGTACGAACGAACCAATTGCCGACGCATGCCATGACAATCTAGTGACAAAGAATGGAAATACAACCGCAATGAGGCTTCAGTGATGGAAGCATGCCAAACGATATTTAATTAGTATTACCAAAAGAATGCAAGCAAGTAAACTAACATAAGTACACGCACACGGTGCGGAAAAGAAAAGATGAGAGCTGAATTGTGCACAAGCAATAATAGCAAATGCACACGCATGGTACAGCGCAGTTAAAGGCAGAATATAAAAAAAATATTTCCTTGAAAACAGATCAAGGGCAAATGCCATGTAATTAAAAATGCCGCCACTCTGACTCAGCGTTTACAACGTGAATAACAAATTTACTGCAGCTTAAAGTTACCTGCAGAAAATAATTAGAAACTGCTTTACCCATCGATGATCATTAAAAAAAAACTAGGATTAAAAAATACATGAACTAAATCGTGTGTCGCTTAGAACACGTGAAGAATAATATGATTTCATCAGCTACAAACAGAGGTTAAGGATGTTAGGTGGTACAGCTTTGTTCTCAATTCGCATTGGCACACTACTTCATTTCACCGAAATTGCGCTGCATAAAAAAAAGAAACGGCATCTCGAATAGCTCTACTTAACTACGGTAAATGTTCTAACCGTTTTACGAGAGAGCATTAAATCAAGCGCAAGTTGTACAGAAAACTACAAAACTCTTCAAAACACAATATACCTATGAGCGCGTTAACGCTTTTGCTTGGGGTCAAATAAATTTTTTGTTTGGAACAAAATGCAACCAAATCGTTGTAGGGTAGGATTTTCCTACCACAATTATGGCCAATGGGCGCAAATTCTCATCTCTACAGGCGTGATATAGAATACGCTCTTGAACTTTGCATACAGTTTCTTATAAACACAAAACCAAGTAACTAAACTACCTTGGTAGCTAATTCTACAGAATTGCAGGGATAAGAATCGTCCGCGTTAAGTTCCGGAAACGACAAAAATTGTTGACGCTTCGCCAGGTTTAGCGGAAGTCATCAGAAGCAAAGTGGAAAAGAGCAGTCAAGTGAGACTACAATGGAACATTAAAAAATAATCGTACATGTACGACTGCATACACAAGACCATCAAGTGCCACCGGACTGAAGGAATTGCAACATCAAAAGGATCTAATAAGGTTAAGATTACACCACCGGGGCACGATAATCCACTGAACAAAGGGAACTCTAAAAAGCTGTGGTTGTCTACGTTCTTATAAAAAGCGGAAATATCTACGACAGCCGAGTTCCCATTCCCTTGCTACGAGCACGATGCCCAACATGGGGTCCCCGAGAGAAGGGTGATCTAATACACTAAGCACAAAATACTTCAAAATATTGCAAAAAGGAGTTAAAAACATGAGTTCAAAACTGATTGGTGGCTTTGATTCCATGAGCCACAGCTAGAAGGAGTACCGAGTGTTCCAAAACTGTACCGTTAGCCTGTTAGCTCCCCTTCAGCAGGTAAAGTTGAAATTATTTGGAAATTTGGGATAAAATTCCAAACAAGAACCATTGTGATATTAAAAATTGGTCTGAGGCACTACAGGCCAGAGTCCAATGGACATACGAAAAGTCATAAAAAAATGTAGGAAACAGCAAAGTATAAGCTGGAACATACGAGGGTCTGAGCGTAAGTCATATATGAATTGTGATGGCTGAAGAGCATCAATCAACGGATGAACAGCAAACATCACATAAAAAATAATTTAACAACGTACTGGTCGAACTATGAAACACAACATTAATATCTTGAAGTTGTAATATAATGGTAAAAGAAAGCGTAGTGTAAAAAAAATTCGACCTTAATGCAAACATGAACGGCTAAGTACCTAATTGCAAATCTTGCAGATTAAAAATATTTCAGTATTTGCAATTAGCTGATATAACCTTCGTTTGCACACGCAGACCTCGTTTATTCAGAGAAATAACAGCTGGAGCATTGGGAAGACAATTGGTATTAATGAAAACTTGTCATCATTGGGACAACCTGAGGTGCATCGCCAGTACATCTCTGGTAGGTAACACACCAGGTATTGATTCTGGTAGGTATGTAAATTGCTCAAACCATGTAGTTGAAGGCAAAGGGAAAATGAAAGCAGGATTAATAGGCGCACAACATATCCATTCAACTTACATATAAAGAAAAATAACTACATGAAGTTTCGAGGAATATTAGTGAATAAATAATAATCATTCCGGAATAGAAAGAGGTTATAATAAGAAGCAAAAACGCCTTATGTTAAGAGCAGGCAAGCTCTGCCTCAGAGCTCGTACGGTAAAGAATTCTCGTAAATGAACGAGATTCAGATAGCGCAACACCAAACCACCACAGCTAATTGGGCTTCACCCGAACACTTTACTATCACTGAAATTAACTCATTTGAATTGGTTTTCACAAAAAAGGTCTTTAAAGTCTATGAAGTTCCTGATTATTAAACATTGACCACAGTCTTCGAAATACAAAAGATCAACTTTACATCGCTAAATCACATTGCTGACTTCACTGCAACCTAAAGGCGATAAGAGACCAAGGGGCTCTTCACAGAACTTGCTAGAAATTTATTTCATTCACTGATGGTAGTAGAAAATTAATGGAGATGACTAATAAATTCTCCCAGACAGGATTCAGCATAGGACAACATTGCTGGCGTAGGTGGCTCATGAAAAATTCCCAACGTGAAGACGCGTTGGTTTCCGTGCTAATTTTCAAGTTTCTGGTATGTTCCAAGGCATGAAGTTTCTAGTTAATTAATAAGTCTTCAGCCTTCTTCTTCTTCTTCGTCGTCATCTTCTTCGGTCTCTTGCAGCCACGTGAGCCACTGGTTGACTTGGAAGAGGGCTATGCCCTTGCCTGGGTAATTATCATTGACGTCCTCCTTCCAGGTGAGGAAGGCTTCTTCCTCGATGATCTCGAGGTCGTAGAGCGACACAAACCAACGCAGTAACATGCCCTTAGGGAAGTTGTTGGTGTACGTGAACACCTGCAAGAGAGTATATACTAAAAATACGAATTCGGACTTAGGGTTTCTTCAAAAATAATTGACACAAATTTATAAAGGAAACGCAAATAAACATTGATGCGAAGTATTGACATTTCCAGGTAATGAATATTTACTGAGACTACATGGTAAAAAAAATATTAAGGAAGAGTACAAGTCTGTGGCAGATCAATGCTGTCAACAAAATTAATCTTTTCGGTAAGGGCAAGTGAAGCAATACGGCATAAAGAATAAACGAGGCAATTGCTGGTCCTTGGCAGTGAACCAAACCAGGCTTTTATTTTGAAATTTAGAATTTTTTTAGAAAGCCTTAGCATTGACTATTGCTCACCTGCAATGCATAAATGGCATAAACTTGAAGATCATTATGGGAGTGCAGGAAAGCCTGCAGCACAGGCTTGAATCGTGCAAGCAACTCTTTTTCTTTCTCCGTAACTCCTTTTTCAGGGATGAGTGAGAGATCAGTGCCTGGAGCCATAGTAGTCTCGTGGGTGATGTGCTTCAGCAGCACCGTCACCAAAGCGTTGACAAACTCCGGTGCTGTGTGATGCTTTACGTCCAGAGTGTCTTTGATGTACTTGAAGAAGGCGTGCGGTGATGGCTCGTTTGCCAGAGCGGAGCTCAACTGCGACTGGATACGAAGCAAGGGGAACAAGAAACTAAGTTGACGGTCCTCAAGCAAGTCCGACAGCTGCTCCTTCGTACGCTCGCTCTCTGGTACAAGGTTGAGTAGGTTCACCTAATCACCTGTGATAACAGAGGGATACGAATTATGAAAACATTGGCATAAATTAGAACATAGAGATTAGAGAAAAAATTCAATATTGCACTACTGGGATCATCGTTAAGTCGTCACACAGATGCGAAGAATCTTGAACATACCCAACAGAGCTGTGCAGTCACAACAGCTTACACAAAAAACGATTTCATTGCGCTTCTCATCCTCAGTTTAACATTCATCATCTGTTAAAAGTATTGGGTTCTTGTCAAATTTTCTTTTTCAATAGTGCATGCAAGATTTTTCACTTATGGAAAAAGTGGATAATGATACTTCAACTAAGGGGTTAAAACGATAGTTCTAACCAAACATGCTGGTTTATGACCAGAAATAATATCCATAAGAATGCTGTGATCGTATTTTTACTCTGAAACACAGCGAGCTCGTCTCTACAATAGCTCGCTAAGCAGAAATGAAACATCTCCAGAAGACAAACGAAGTTAAATGAATCAAACATAAAATTTTACCACTAAACTGCACAGCTAAAATTCATACAATATAAAACCCTCTAATATATTGTTTCCAAGAGATTATGGAGGGGCTTGCCTGTGAGATTAATTATAAACTTCGTACTACAAAAATTTCCAAGAAGTTTATAGTTTTCATCAAACGAAATGATTAACTAAAATGCATAGTTCAGAATGTCTAATCCGTATGACCTGATTCTATGGATTAAAAATTTTTATGTATTTTCTCGAAAACAATAATGCAGATAATACCCACGTCAACTGCACCATCAAAACTTGGAGTTTTAATAGCTAGGGTTGATATTCAAGTACTAGCTGTCACGGCTTTCAAAAAATCTCGAGGACTGGTAATAACAATGGGAGTACAGGATAAAATTCAGGGCTAGTCTCACAAACCGTGTCGTTGAATAAGACGGCTTTCAAAAAATCTCGAGGACTGGTAGTAACAATAGGAGTATAGGATAAAATTCAAGGTTAGTCTCATAAACTGTGTCGTTGAATGACACGGCTTTCAAAAATATATCTCGAGGACTGGTAGTAACAATGGGAGTACAGGATAAAACTCAGGGTTAGTCTCACAAACTGTGTCGTTGAATGACACGGTTTTCAAAAATACCTCGAGAACTGGTAATACCCACGGGAGTACAGGATAAAATTCAGGGCAAGTCTCACAAACCTTTGAGTCGTTGAAGAGTTGCGTGAGTTTCGGTTTGCCCGCCAGCTTGTGAAGGTGCTGGAGGACGAGGAGGTAGAGCGGGAAGTGTTCGCCGGCCTGCATAGGATCGGCGAGTTCGGCCAGTGTGAAGGTGTTGAGCAGCACGAGCTGAGCCAAGACTTCTGCCAGCTGCCCTTTGCCGCGAGGACAGTCGCTGAGACCAGCTTCCACCTCAGACAGAACCTGCAACACAGAATTTGTACAGTTAAAGTCTATAAAACAACTCCACAATCGAAAATATTCAAACGAAATGATGAAGTTGATGTTGTGAAACCATTTACGTTCCCCAAAGATACAATTAGTGTAATATATGTGGAAAAAGTCATGAAATGTGAGTTAGTGACAATCGTCATATTCAAACAAAAACAAATCTAAATTAACTTCTAAAATAGAAATAATATAAGGTATCGTTACCTTAAAGCAGATAGTTATCTTGTAACTTACCTGCTTGAGGCCGTCCCACAATTTGTCCTGGGATATGAGATTCTCGGTGCGTAGCTGCACCAATAGCTGACTGCCAATTTCGCGTCCTCCTTCTACGTAAAGAAATTAAAGGAGGATTAAGACTTTAATAATAGCAGTTTCACATAAATATTGCTTTTGATCACAGAATAGAGATAGAAGGATAAATTTAACTTGACCATAGACAATTTTTCAGTGTAAATAAATGCTAGGAACACTTGCCATCCAGATTTATAATGATTAACGCTAGGAAAACCACCAGATTAAGAGATTGATAATGATTAATTCGAGAAACACCATCCAGAAAGAGAATGATTAATGCCTGGAACACTTACCATCCAGCTTGAGAATGGATGAGAAAAGTGCGTGAGCAGCGTCAGCGGCAAGCCGGTCAGGCAGTTTGATGTCCTTATAAGCCTGGCAAGCCTCTGAAACTTTGGTGCTTTGAGCAGCCTCGTCAGGCGAGGTGCCGTTGGTGACGCCGGCACTGCCAGGCGTGGCCTCCGTCGGCACAGACGAAGGAACGATTTTAGGGCTTCCACCACTAGTAAGTTTGTCAACAAGGCTTCGGACACGACGCATGTACTCTTCGCGCGTTGGGCCCTGTAAAAAATAGTAGTTAATGTTCACATCTAAGTCATTGAACGTTTTATGAGTGGCCGGCGTATATATTAGTATATATTTATTCACTATCAAAGCACTCATTGTAGATAGCTGTAAATTGAAACATCATGTTAAGTGCATCATGAAGCTCAGACTACAAATAAACATGCTTCTATAATAACTTCAATATCATGAAAAAATGAATAACCGACCTTTTCCTTCTTGTTCTTGTTGGTTTTCTCAGCAGGAATTTGCTTGATAACAAGCGGAGGATCCTTGTGCAGGATAGGAGCCATTGAGAGGGGCTTGGGGTTCGGGGGCTGCACGCTGGGATAATGCACCCCCAGCGGGGGGCGGTGCAGCTCAGGTTTGCTCTCGTTGAGAGGCTGTAAAAAATCATTGAAAAATGCTTATATTGAATAATTCAATAGGTTAAATAGTGTTTCAATAAAAAAATAATGCTAAATTCCAACAATGAGTGAATTTAATTGTGTGTTGAATAACTCAATATGCTATTGTGACTGTGTTCTTATAATAAGAAATAATGGTTAATTCCAACAATCATGTGCCTTCAATTGCGTATTTCAATAATAATAAATAATACTAGTTCTATCGCGTTCACTCATCTATTTAAGACTGAAGAAGTGAGAATGGTCTCTTTTTCTAGCGCCTCAAAAAGAAGAGCCCCACTTATTTATATTTTACTAAGACATGTAAACAATGAAAACAAAATACATTTTTGCTGTTTATATCGAGACAAAAAATGTGCTTTATTTTTCAAAATTCTGAGTTCTAATTTCCATGGTCATGTAGCACTTACAAAAATGATTGAATGAATGAAGTCAAGCATTTATGTTGACTAATATCACGAGAAATTTACTAAACTAAACTGATATGATTGACTAAACTAATATGTTGACTAATATCACAAATTTAAACGATTTGTATCATGAAGATAATGATTGATTACGGTTTAGACAAAAGAACACCCGGGTAGAGACGATAGTGAAAAATAGAACATAGTTTTTGCAATGCAAGCAAGTTACCAGCAGACTGGGCTGCTCGAGACTACTTGGCAACAATGATATCAAGTGTTAGCATCTTACTTCTTTGCAATATGTAAAATAAATTAGTAAATACTAATACAAGACACTATAAAGAACACTAATAACAGTTCATTTTCAAGTCCCTATCAGCTCCCGATGTAGTCTCGTTTGACGTAACTAGCTTTATTAATTTCAACATTTTGGTGCAGAGGACGATTTGATTTCTTCGTTTCCGAAGATTATTGAAAAGCTTTTGAACAGCCAACACGCATGGTATAGGTAGTTGTGAACAGTAGTTGAACGGATGATTGTGTAGAGAATCGTTTTAGCTGAAAGATGTGAGAGAGAGATCAGAGAAACTTAAAACAGAAAGAAACGCTCGATTAAGACTCAGCGATCGAGCAATAATATGCAAGAAACTCTAAGAAAGTAAATTAATAAGAAAATCAGTTTCAAGGAAACGGAAAAATGAAAACAAACAAGAATTTGTGCAAAAAAATAGCAAGATTTATATATAAGAAATCGTGAGGAACTTGGAGCCAATAACAGAGTAAAAAAAATTACGTGTCCACAGTTGAAAAAGAGGAAACAGGGAAATCAGGAAGAAGATTGAATGAATAAAAGAGAAATAAGTGTAAAGTACATGAAATCTTGAAGAATGAATGTCAATGTTTGAGTAAGAAAGAATGAAAGAATTGATGGCTCACAGTTGAAGACAGGGCGCTCTGAGGCAGGAGGCCAGGAATCTTGGGCTTGAGCGACATGTTGTGAGCTGAGGCAGGTCGCAGTGACAGCTCGCCGTGGTGTAGGTCGCTGCGGTCACCACCCACACCACCGCCACCACCTCCACCCATTCCACCACCTGCGTTGCCAGCTGTAAAACACAAACACTCGTCATCTAGAATTTATTTAGTTGTTTGTTCAAGAGCTTCATTTGAAATGAATGGGATGAGATTTCAAAAGCAACATAAGAAAGGAAAGCAAAAAAACCAAAAAGAAAAAAAGAACAAAGAAAAAAAAAATCAATTGAACTAACTCCTCAATCGCCCAAAAAAAAGGCTCAAAAAAAAACCAAACAAAGTTTCCTAAGCCCTAAAATCCTGGGAAAACTAAGGCTTAAACCAAACAAAGAAATAGAGAAAACGAAAAACAAATAAAAAAAAAAAAACGAAAATAAATAAATAATCCAACCCTGCTAACCGATCGGATGAATGAAGTAACGTGTATAACTCACCCATGACACCACCAGGTCCTCCAGGCCCAGAGCCTCCCACAACGCCACTAGGGGCGCCCATGGGGCCTCCCCCACCAGCCTGGTTGCTCACAAACATCTTCTTGAAGCGTGGGGGCAGATCCGAGGCGGTGTCTGGAAAATTGGAAACACGTTTCATGATAGCGATGCTGAGTGAATTATGTAAATATATGAATGAATGAATTGAATGGTGACATGAAAAAATTATTGACGCAGACATCTTCATTGCCAATAAAAATCTTTTGTACATGCGTCTTTGATGACATCTCCATAACTACTGCAGCAGCACTCATCAGTTTTCAGTTGAACAAGTAATTTAATTAAATGTCCCAAATAAATAATATCAAACTTAGGTCTGTTATACTATGAACACTCACAATTAAATAGCTAAATTCAAGTACATACTAAACGCTACAGATGCAAACTAACTGTTATCGTAGCCTCCACGCCCACCGCCCCCTGATGGAGGGCCGCCGCCCTGGTGGTGCTGGTTGTTGTTCATGTATCGGTTGTAGTTATTAGTGAAGTGCTTGTTCTGGTAGTAGCTGTTGTTCGGCACGTACTGCAATATAAGCAACAAATTACCGAGAGAGCACTATCAACTTCACATTTGTACATATTTCCGCTTCATTTTTTTCTTCAATGAAGTGATATGGGATACTTCATGCAGACATGTGCGCTATTAATAGATTCATAATAAGTTCTCATTGATACTTGAATATTAACATATAAATTAAGAAATTGGAAAATGACTGAAGGAGTCCTTAAACTTCATTTCCAGATGAACGCCATTACAAAGACAAAGTGACAGGACAAGGCGCAAAGTCAAATGCAAACCTCGACATAGAGGACAACATTATCGTTGGAAGGGACAACATAGAGACAACATTTTCATGGGAAGGGACAACATAGAGGACAACATCATCATGGGAAGGGACATCATTATGAAAGGAGACAATATAGACAACATTATCATGGGAAGGGATATCATTATGATAAGAGACAACATAAACAGCAACATTATCGTGGTAATTTGAAAAGTAGCAACTCACGCCGCCCTGAATGCCTCCTTGCATGTGGTGTCTGTTGCTACGTCCACCGTTGTAGCCACCATCTCCACCACGTCCGTGTCCCGGTCCCCCAAGACCCATCGGGACCCCAAACCCGTTGGGCTCGTCCCCAAACGGCGTGAATTTGTCAGGCTGCGATGAGATGACACCGGGGCCCGTGCCCAACGATGCTGCGCCTCCCATGGGCATCCCAAACACGTCCTCCATGCCCGTGCGGGACATGCCCGTCTGAGGTTGTTAGAAGTTGTCAATTATTTGTGAAACAAATTACGGACATAAAAATTTAATCCTAGATTATTAAAATATCAATTGCCTTCGGCACACCATTACTAACATCTCAAGGATGTGAAAATCTCAATGAACCGTGCACACGAACCTTATCGTTAGCAGTAGAAAACCCAACCCGCTAAGGCTGCTAAGACAGGTGAGGCAGCAAATTAAACACGACACAAACGGCAGCGTTTAGAAAATACTTTACCTGAGGGAAGAACGTTGGCATGGTGGTTGAGAGAGGTGACATCATGCCCGAGTAGTGGTGGGTACTTGCTGACGGGGGAGGGATGTAAATGCCCAAATCGCGGGCAGCCTGTTCTCGTACCTAAAATTAACAGAAATCTTTAAAAAATTATTAAAATAAATTCAAAATTGAAAAACAATAATTACTGAAACTAACGACTAATCATTACACAATTCAGTCAATTATTCATCACCTACAAGAGGCGGAAGGTCTCAGATGTCCAGCCCGCTGAAGCTGGCTCAAAAGAAGCAGCGTTAGCATCTCAAAGAGACGAGGTGACAAGGAGGGACACGTGAAAAGCAACAGAAACGAAGACACTCGAACAAGAGGTCGCATACACGGGACGTCGGCCGCCCGCACGAGAGAGACAGAGAAGGGAAATGTAAGGAATCCTGCCTACACACTAACTTGACCCCACAACTGAGACCTACAGTCAGACACCGCGAGCTCAACGGTGGGGCGCTCAGGAACAATCCCCCTAGGAACGCGAAATCCCATAGGACTTTAGACGAGCACAGACACCCGTCAGAAGTCCCCCCTGAGGGGGATATGTAATGCCAAATTCCTACTAATACTTCAAAAATGAAAAGTTTTAGTACGAACTGTCCCATATCGCTATTAACGTGATTAAAATTCTTTATGACAAAATACAATATAAAAAATACATACAAGTTCAATTTGAGTCAAGTATCTTCAACATGAGGGAAGGATTCTGCACAATTTGCATCAAAGATCTTTGACACGAGGTTATCATTAGGCCAGGATAACTAATTATATGCGACTGCTCACTAACTTCAGTAATGGTTCTTGGGCCGTCAAACTGAGCTATCTTGCGCGGCTGCCAGCCAGCTTTGCGCAGGTCAATGATGTCCTGCAGCATGAAGCGGGTGCGTAGGTTCAGTTCCGGTCGCACGCTTAGACGACGGATCCGGTTGAAGTATTGATCCATCAAATTCTGAAATGTACGGCATATCCATCAAATTCTGAAATGTACGGCATATCCATCAAATGCTGAAGTGTTCAACAATCAGATTCTGAAATCTGCAGCATATCAATCATATTCTGAAGCGTTCAACCATCAAATTCTGAAATCTGCAGCTTGTCCATCAAATTCTGAAGCGTTCAACCATCAAATTCTGAAATCTGCAGCTTGTCCATCAAATTCTGAAGCGTTCAACCATCAAATTCTGAAATCTGCAGCTTGTCCATCAAATTCTGAAGCGTTCAACCATCAAATTCTGAAATCTGCAGCATGTCAATCAAATTCTGTAACGTTCACCAACACAACTCAGTTGCAGTGACGGTCTTTATAGAGGTAGTGAGAAAAAATATAACTCAGTACTCTCTGCAAGGAGCGACGGAGAGCACATTTTCTCAAAATCGACGAAAACGTGAAGTCAAGGACAGACGGACGGACGGCTTGACGAGCACAATAGGGCATTTTTACATAAATGAGAAAATGCGCTAAAAAGGACCAATTCTAAAATTATGCATCAACTAATCCAACAAATGCTCGTTCTCAAGTCCATAATTATTGACAAGATGAAAAGAGCATCAGCAGAAGAAAGTAACAGAATATATTTATGAGAGAATAGCCCCGAGTATAACCACTAACCTAACCAGTGTAATTATGTTGAGAAAAATTCTTAAGAACATTTAGAGTATTCTCCAGAAGAGCTTGTCGAATTGTTGGTGAACGAGTGTATTATTTCGACGTGCATTAAGGATGCAGTGAAGAATACAAGGAAATTTACCTGATGCTACTGAGGAAAAAAAATCTAACTGTGATCATTTTAATATTCCAATGCAATGAGGTAAGAAAGACTTTATTAAATCATGAAATGGTTCCATTTTACTACTGTTAATTTTGATAAATTGGGCAAATATTGGAAATTGTGGACTCGCGACCTCTTATGCTACATTTGAAAAGCAAATTTATGTTACACTTACTCCCAGCCAAAAAATCTTAGGATGAAGCCACGATTACGAAATGTTGAAAAGGTGTGTGTAACAGGCTGATTAATAGAAGTATAAAACTTTAGGATTTGGATACATAGTGTGGCGCCGAAATATTCCCATGAGGGAGTTTCTGGAGTGAGCTTGTTTGGCCAAAATGCTACTCATTGCGTCTGTGCCTTAAAAGTGAATTGCTTCCTTCCTTATCATCTGCAATGATTTCTTTTCGAGACATGGTATTTCACTTGATTAAAATGAAACTAAGCTTCTTAGGGAAAAAATGCCGTATAAAGTTTGTTCATCAACTCAATAATTAGCACGCCACTGAATGATTCAGATTTTATACTCGCATTATCCTAGTGTTGCAATATGGTACCAGATGGTATCTTTTATGATAAAAGCAAAACTTTTTTTTTTCGAGCATGAACAATGTACATGCATCCTTAAGGCTAAATAATATCAATTTCTAACAAATCCAACAGCTTTTATTCTCAGAGGGAATGGGTTAAACGAGTATTTTTCTCATCATCAAATGTTTCATTGTTTCAACTTTTCATGTGAAACTAATAACAGATCTTTTTATATTTATACCTTCATGTTACTTTGTGAAATTATTGGTACATAATACAACTTTAATGACATTATGTATAATATTTCAGATATATTCAATACAGCTGCAGGCATCTACTACTAACGAAACTATTGTTCCATCAGCTAACTCTTCCATGCCAGTTTGTAGTTGAGGTTGTAGTTTGTTCTCTCATTCTGATGCAAAGTCAAGCAAACTTTCCCGATTCAATCAATTAACATTATCAGTCAAATAGTAAACTTTGTCTTCAGTAGGTCAATTTCTTATATGAACGAGTCAAAAATTATAATGCCATGTATTTAAGTCGAATGACAAAAAAAAAAAAATGAAATTATTTTCGACAATATTTGCGATCTAAATTTTAAATCTATTTTCATGTCAATTAATAATCAATACAAGCACAAAATCTAGAAAATAAAGAAGAAAAAGTGCATTGAGAAGAAGGCAAGACTGACCTGGGCTTCAGGAATGTCAAGGATCTTGCCGCTGGTTCGCATTATCTGGCAGAGACACTCCAGATCCTCAGCCAGGTCTGTATTTGGTCCACGGGTCTTCTCCAGCAACTGTACCAGTAAATGGAACATTAATTCCTTATAGTATTATACATGAAATATCACATTATTATAGTTTCCTATCCTTATAAAACATATTTGCAATATTAACTTCTCAAGTCATCTAAGGATTTTAACATGGACTTCATAGTAATAGGAATTTTCGTTGATAATCTGTGCAATTCAAGTAATGTCATATTTGGCACTACAGAAATTGTTCTTCATGTAATACAGGGTTAATGGATCAGTTGAAGCTTGTATTTTGTGATAAAGGAGTGGCAGCACCTACACCCATATTTCTTCATATGGTATGAATATTTCATTTCATTTAAATAGCTTAATTTTGCTCGTTAACCTCATAATAATCAAAATTAGATTTTCGGTTTGAAGGTTTTACTTCATGAAAAGTAAAGTTCGTTCGAATTTACTTTGTACTAAGAGAATATTTATGGTTACTTCAATAATTATAGTAAAGCTGCACGTGATTGTGGCCCACTCAAGTTTATAAACAAATTAATGCAAGTGAGCACTAGAAACTAAGTGCACATTGGGACCAAACGACTGCACAGTCAGACCGAAGGAATTTATGCACGTGAAAACTGCACTAAAAAATTTAGTAGGTTGACCCGAAATCTCATTGCTTTGTAAGAGAACAGCCATCTCACTTTAATGAAGCAAGCAAGTAAGGCTGCCAGGAAGTCAGGCTGCCAGCAAGTCAGGCTGTTAGCAAGTCAGGCTGTTAGCAAGTCAGGCTGCCAGCAAGCCAGGCTGCCAGCAAGCCAGACTGCCAGCAAGTCAGGCTGCCAGCAAGTCAGACTGCCAGCAAGTCAGACTGCCAGCAAGTCAAGCTGCCAGAAAGCCAGGCTGCCAGCAAGCCAGACAATCATTATTCAACTCCTCAATACAGAGGTAGAAGATGCACATAACCAAGTGCACATTTAGACTGAAGGACTAGGTGCATATAGACAATTCATGCAAGAATTAAGTTCACGCCACCGCAACCCACCGCGCTGCACATAATAAAGCAAGCAAGTTATTACAATGCCCTTGCCTGGGTAATTATCATTGACGTCCTCCTTCCAGGTGAGGAAGGCTTCTTCCTCGATGATCTCGAGGTCGTAGAGCGACACAAACCAACGCAGTAACATGCCCTTAGGGAAGTTGTTGGTGTACGTGAACACCTGCAAGAGAGTATATACTAAAAATACGAATTCGGACTTAGGGTTTCTTCAAAAATAATTGACACAAATTTATGAAGGAAACGCAAATAAACATTGATGCGAAGTATTGACATTTCCAGGTAATGAATATTTACTGAGACTACATGGTAAAAAAAATATTAAGGAAGAGTACAAGTCTGTGGCAGATCAATGCTATCAACAAAATTAATCTTTTCGGTAAGGGCAAGTGAAGCAATACGGCATAAAGAATAAACGAGGCAATTGCTGGTCCTTGGCAGTGAACCAAATCAGGCTTTTAATTTGAACAATTAGAATTTTTTTAGAAAGCCTTAGCATTGACCATTGCTTACCTGCAATGCATAAATGGCATAAACTTGAAGATCATGATGGGAGTGCAGGAAAGCCTGCAGCACAGGCTTGAATCGTGCAAGCAACTCTTTTTCTTTCTCCGCAACTCCTTTTTCAGGGATGAGTGAGAGATCAGTGCCTGGAGCCATAGTAGTCTCGTGAGTGATATGCTTCAGCAGCACCGTCACCAGAGCGTTGACAAACTCCGGTGCTGTGTGATGCTTCACGTCCAGAGTGTCTTTGATGTACTTGAAGAAGGCGTGTGGTGATGGCTCGTTTGCTAGAGCAGCGCTCAACTGCGACTGGATACGAAGCAAGGGGAACAAGAAACTAAGTTGTCGGTCCTCAAGCAAGTCCGACAGCTGCTCCTTCGTACGCTCGCTCTCTGGTACAAGGTTGAGTAGGTTCACCTGTGATAACAGAGGGATACGAATTATGAAAACATTGGCATAAATTAGAACATAGGGGAAAACATTCCATATTGCACTACTGGGATCATCAAAAATTCCATATTGCACTTCTGGAATGAGAAGAATCTTGAACAAACCCAACAGAGCTGTGCAGACATTACAGCTTACACTAAAAAAGAACGATTTCATTGCGCTTCTCACTCTCAGTTTAACATTCATCATCCGTTAAAAGCATTGGGGTTATGTTAAATTTTCCATTTCAATAAATTTTATGCTAGATTTTCCCACTTGAGTGTAAAATTATACTTGAACTAAGGGATTAAAACAGTAGTTTCTACAAAACATGCTGCTTTATGACCAAGAATAAAATCCACAAGAATGTAATGCATCTAATCCTTATGACCTGATACTATGGACTAAAAATGTGTATGTACTTTCTCGAAAACAATTGGACAGATAATACCCATGTCTACTGCACCATTAAACCTTGGAGCTACAATAGCTAGGGTTGGAATTCACGTACTCGCTGACACGGCTGTCAAAAAAATCTCTAAGACTGGTAATACCTTGCGAAAGTAAAGGATAAAATTCAGGTCTAGTCTCACAAACCGTGTCGTTGAATGACACGACTTTCAAAAAATCTCGAGGACTGATAGTAACAATGGGAGTACAGGATAAAATTCAGGCTAGTCTCACAAACCTTGTCGTTGAATGACACGGCCTTCAAAAAATCTTTAGGATTGGTAATACCAATGGGAGTACAGGATAAAATTCTGGGCTAGTCTCACAAACCTTGGAGTCGTTGAAGAGTTGCGTGAGTTTCGGTTTGCCTGCCAGCTTGTGAAGGTGCTGGAGGACGAGGAGGTAGAGCGGGAAGTGTTCACCAGCCTGCATAGGATCGGCGAGTTCGGACAGGGTGAAGGTGTTGAGCAGCACGAGCTGAGCCAAGACTTCCGCTAGCTGCCCTTTGCCGCGAGGACAGTCGCTGAGACCAGCTTCCACCTCAGACAGAACCTGCAGCACAGAATTTGTACAATTGAAGTCATCAAAACAACTACACAATCGAAAACATTTGAATGAAGTTCAATGATGTGAATATTTACGTTCCCACGATACAATTGGTGTAATAAATGCGGAAAGGTCATGAAATATGGGTTAGTGACAATCGTCATTTTCAACCGAAAAAAATCTAAGTTAACTCCTAAAATAGAAATAACAAAAAATGTGGTGAACAGTTACCTTGAAGCAGATAGTTACAGTGGGGGGAAATAAATATTCGTACACTTGAAAAATCGTATTTTAATGTATGTAAGTACACAAACTTAACAGGAAAAGTGATTTAAATTATGTATAGAGACGCATAGTATTCAAAAATACTATCAAAAGAAATTAAATNCAAGTATTTTTGAATACTATGCGTCTCTATACATAATTTAAATCACTTTTCCTGTTAAGTTTGTGTACTTACATACATTAAAATACGATTTTTCAAGTGTACGAATATTTATTTCCCCCCACTGTATCTTGTAACTTACCTGCTTGAGGCCGTCCCACAATTTGTCCTGGGATATGAGATTCTCGGTACGTAGTTGCACCAATAGCTGACTGCCAATTTCACGTCCTCCTTCTACGTAAAGAAATGAAAGGAGGATTAAAACTTTTCTAAAAATAGGCGAAATCATTAAGAGCTGATACATTTCTGCTCACTAGTTGTATTTGTTGCAATAGGTTCAATTTATTATCATATCATTTTGCTAATAATAGCAGTTTCACACAATCAACTACTGTTTCTGATGACAGAATAGAGATATAAGGATAAATTTAACTTGACCATAGACAATTTTTCATTGTAAATAAGTGCTAGGAACACTTGCCATCCATCTTGGGAAAGATTAACGCGGGAAAAACATCCAGATTGATAATGATTAACGTTAGAAAAACCACCAGATTAAGAATGATTAATGTTAGGACCATTTACCATACAGATTGATAATGAATAATTCTACAAACAACATCTAGATTGGGAATGATTAATGCCTGGAACACTTACCATCCAGCTTGAGAATGGATGAGAAAAGAGCGTGAGCAGCGTCAGCGGCAAGTCGGTCAGGCAGTTTGATGTCCTTATAAGCCTGGCAAGCCTCTGCAACTTTGGTGTTTTGAGCAGCCTCGTCAGGTGGGGTGCCGTTGGTGACGCCGGCACTACCAGGCGTGGCCTCCGTCGGCACGGACGGAGGAACAATTTTAGGGCTTCCTCCACTTGTAAGTTTGTCAACAAGGCTTCGGACACGACGCATGTACTCTTCGCGCGTTGGGCCCTGTAAAAAATAGTAGTAAACGTTCAAATTGAAGTCATTGAACGTTTCATGAGTGGCATTCAATCTTGTTCAACATAACAAATTCTCCATCAAGCACTAATTGTGGATAACCGTAAATTGAAACATTATGTTAAGTGCATTATGAAGATCAGACTATAAATAAAACATGATTCAACAACATAATAACTATTAAATAACATAAATAAAATGAAAAAAGTTAATAACCCACTTTTTCCTTCTTGTTCTTGTTGGTTTTCTCAGCAGGAATTTGCTTGATAACAAGCGGAGGATCCTTGTGCAGGATAGGAGCCATTGAGAGGGGCTTAACACAAACGGCAGCGTTTAGAAAATACTTTACCTGAGGGAAGAACGTTGGCATGGTGGTTGAGAGAGGTGACATCATGCCCGAGTAGTGGTGGGTGCTTGCTGACGGGGGAGGGATGTAAATGCCCAAATCGCGGGCAGCCTGTTCTCGTACCTAAAATTACCAGTAATTTCAAATAATGATTATAATAAATTCAAAATTGAAAAACAATAATTACTGAAACTGGCGACTAATCATTACACAATTCAGACTTAAAATAATTCTCAGCTACCCTTCTGATAGCATTAAATGCCAAATTCCTACCAATACTACAGAAATGAAAAATTTCAGTACCAACTGTCCCATATCGCCATAGCGTGATTAGATTTCTTTGTGGCAAAATACAATACAAAAAATACATACAAGTTCAATTTGAGTCAAGAATCTTTGACACGAGGTTATCATTAGGCAAGTATAATCAACTATACATGATTGCTCACTAACTTCAGTAATGGTTCTTGGGCCGTCAAACTGAGCTATCTTGCGCGGCTGCCAGCCAGCTTTGCGCAGGTCAATGATGTCCTGCAGCATGAAGCGGGTGCGTAGGTTCAGTTCCGGTCGCACGCTTAGACGACGGATCCGGTTGAAGTATTGATCCATCAAATTCTGAAATGTATGGCATATCCTTCAAATGCTGAAGTGTTCAACCATCAAATTCTGGAATCTGCAGCATATCAATCAAATTCTGTAACGTTCACCAACAGAACTCAGTTGCAGTGACGGTCTTTATAGAGGTAGTGAAAAAAAATATAACTCAGTATACTCTCTGCAAGGAGCGACAGAGAGCACATTTTCTCGAAATCGACGAAAACGTGAAATCACGGACAGACGGACGGACGGCCATGGCGAGCACAATAGGGCATTTTTACATAAATGAGAGCGCTGAAAAGGATAGGTATATTCTAAAATTTTGCATCTACTAATTCAACAAATGCTTGTTCTAAAGTCCATAATTATTGATAAGATGAAAAGATCATCATCGGAAGAAAGTAATAGAATATATTTAGGAGAGAATGGAGCCCCGAGTATAACCACTAAACTAACCAGTGTAATTATGTTGAGAAAAATTCTTCAGAATATTTGGAGTATTCTCCAGAAGAGCTTGTCGAATTGTTAGTGAAGTAAGTGAACGAGTGTATTATATTGCCGTGCATCAAGGATGAAATGGCCAAGTGAACAATACAAGGAAATTGACCTGATGCTACTGAGGAAAAATAATATACGCTTAAAAATTACTATTTAGCCCTTTACGCCCTGGCGTGACGAATTCGTCACACAGAAAAAAACATCGGTTTTCCAACAATTTCACGTTTTCTGTCATTTTTTCGAAAAATTCACAGGAATAAAAAAAGTCTTAGATTTATTTTTTACATATGTGTACCAAGTTTCAAAGTTATCTGTCATTAATTGATTCATGCATTGCCTCTGACTTCACACACGTGTGCAAAATTTCAGATCAATTAGACAGGTAAAAGTGTGTCAAATATCAGTTATAAGATTTGTAGCTGACAAAATTATTTTTTCAATTTTTTTAATATTGAAAAAAAATTTAATTTTTAAAATCATTTATTTTGACATTTGATTCATGCATTGTTTCCAACTTTACACAAGTGTGCAAAATTTCAGATCGATAGGATAAGTAGAAGTGTGTTAAATTTTTATTACAAGATTTGTGGCAGACAAACAAACAAACAAACAACAAGAAGTGAAGTTAAAGAGAAGTGTTGTAAAAACTAACAGTGATCATTAAAATATTCCAACGAAGCAGTTTCCAATGCAATGAGGCAAGAAAGACTTGATTACATCATGAAATGGTTCCATTTTACTGCTGTTAATTTTGATAAATCGGGCAGGCAAATATTGGAAATTGTGGACTCGCGACCTCTTGTGCAACATTTGAAAAGCAAATTTATGTTACACTTAGTTCTAGACAAAAAATCTCAGGATGAAGCAACGATTATGAAATGTTGAAAACGTGGGCGTAAAAGGCTAATTAATACTAGTACAAATAAGTCTTTAGGATTTGGATACATAGTGTGGCGCCAAAATATTCCCATCAGGGAGTTTCTGGGGTGAGCATTATTGGCCAAAATGCTCCTCATTGCGTCTGTGGCTTAGGAGTGAATTGCTTCCTTCCTTATCATCTGCAATGATTTCTTTTCGAGACATGGTATTTCAATTGATTAAAATGAAACTAAGCTTCTTTGGGAAAAAATGCCATAAAAAGTTTGTTCATCAACTCAATAATTAGCACGGCACCGAATAATTCAGATGTTGTACTCGCATTACCCTAGTGTTACAATATGGTACCAGATCGTATCTTTTATGATAAAAACAAAAAAAAAATTATGAGCATAAACAATGTAAATGCATCATTAAGACTATATAATATCAATTTTGAACAAATAAAAATTTTTTTTTCGAATGTAATGGGTTAAATGAAATTTTTCTCCTCATCAACTGTTTCAACTTTTCATGTAAAACTACTAACAGATCTCTATATATTTCCACATTCATGTTACTTTCTTTGTGTAATATAGGTACACAACACAACTGGAATGAGATTATGTTGGAAGATTAGTACAACTATACTAACGAAACTCCTGTACCAACAGCTAACTCTTCCATGCCAGTTTGTAGTACGTAGAGGTTTTAATTTGTTCTCATATTTTGACTGATGCACAGGCAAGTTTTCCCAATTCAAAAAATCAAAATTATCAGTCGAGTAGTGAACTTCTTCTACAGTAGGACAATTTATTATATGAACTAATCAAAAATTATAAGCCCATGTATTTACGTCAAATAATAAAGAAAATAAATTATTTTTGAGAAACTTTGCGATGTAAACTTTTTAAATCTATTTTCATGTCAATTAATAATCAATACACGCAAAAAATTAGGAAAATAAAGAAGAAAAAGTATAACTCAGTACTCACTGCAGTGAGTGACAGAGAGCGCATTTTCTCGTCGACGAAAACTTGAGGTCACGGACGGACGAACAGGCGGACATGGCGAGCACAATAGTGCATTTTTCCCATAAATGAGAAAATGTGCTAAAAAGTGCATTGAGATGAAGGCAAGACTGACCTGGGCTTCAGGAATGTCAAGGATCTTGCCGCTGGTTCGCATTATCTGGCAGAGACACTCCAGATCCTCAGCCAGGTCTGAATTTGGTCCACGGGTCTTCTCCAGCAACTGTACCAGTAAATGGAACATTAATTCCTTATAGTATTATACATGAAATATCATATTATTATTGTTTCCTATCATTATAAATCGTATTTGCAATATAAACTTCTCAAGTCATCTAAGGACTTTAACATGGGCTTTGTAGTAATAGGAGTTTTCATTGATAAATAATCTGCGCAATTCAAGTAATGTCACATTTGCTACAGAAATTGTTCTTTATGTAATACAGGGTTAACGGATCAGTTGAAGCTTGTATTTTGTGCTAAGGTAGTGGCAGCACCTACACGCATATTTCATTATTAAGGTATGAATATTTCATTTCGTTTAAATAGCTTGATTTTGCTTGTTAACCTAATAATAATTCAAATTAGATTTTGGATTTTAAAGTTCTATTTCATGCAAAATTCATAAACAAACATTTATGATGCGAGATCATTGGCAGACTGGGTACTTAGGTCGTAATAACATTATACCGAATAAAAATCACAGAAAAAAACAGTATTTGGCCAAGTTCGAACTTACGTTGTACCAAGAGAATATTTATTGTTACTTCAATAATTATAGTAAAGCTGCACGAAGTTGTGGCCCACACAAGTTTATAAACAAATTAGTGCACACAAGCACTACAAAAATAGTGCACATTGGGACCAAACGACTGCACAGTCAGACCAAAAGAATTGTGAATGTGAAAACTTTATGAAAAAATTTAGTAGGTTTCCCAGCAACTCTCATTGCGTTGCAAGAGAACAACCAGCTCACTGTAATGAAGCAAGTAAGTAAGACTGTCAGCAAGTCAGACTGCCAGCAATTCAGACTGACAGCAAGTCAGACTGCCAGCAAGTCAGACTGCCAGCAAGTCAGGCTGCCAGCAAGTCAGGCTGCCAGCAAGTCAGGCTGCCAGCAAGTCAGGCTGCCAGCAAGTCAGACTGCCAGCAAGTCAGCCTGCCAGCAAGTCAGCCTGCCAGCAAGTCAGACTGCCAGCAAGTCAGATGACAGCCGTTTGCACAGCTGTGCGTACATAGAACAGTATTTTGGTTCATCAAGAGCCTTTTGGAAGATCTGCAAAGTCAGAGGACAAGTAATTAGAAAATTTATTTCCCTGTAAGTTGATAAGTTGCTGAACTAATAAAAAGAAGCATTAAGAAAATGTAATTTCCTGTAAAGCGATGTTAACTAATTGAACTAATCAAAGGAGAAACAGCAAGAAAATGTCATTTCCTGTAAAAAAAAAATCAGTAACTGGACCAATCAAATGCCATAGTAAAGAAATGAGACACTAAGAGCAAAATACAATAATGTCATAAAGCAGGAAGACTATCGTATTTTTATACTAACAATAAACTAAGCTATATACACATGGTTGATACATTGTTTCGGATATATTTTCCTAATCAAGTAAATTAGATCTCCGTTTTGACTAGAAATTAGTCAATATAACTTGGTTCAAAGTTAGAAGTTTTTTGCATTAATTCTCAATACATGTATTTTAATCAAATTCATCTGGCTTTACTTAACAAAAATTTGTCTTTTAAACGTAAATACAATGTTTAAAATAAACAGCTTGTAATAAGCTAATATTTTCCATGCTGGAAATTTTCCATGCACGAGTTATTTCCACACTGGGAATAACTCACCAAGAGAATAAGTTCTTCAAGTACAGCACGGGCATTCAGTCCAACATTGAGAAGTTCATTGCTTAACTTGTCAAAGGTTTCAGGGGTGAGCTTGTTAAGAAGACCCCGGATCTGAAAGAGATGCAAGTGGCTCAATAGAAAGCAAAAAGTAACACATCAATAGAGATAGAATGTTATTAGCATGTCACCACATATGATCAGCACAACAATTACAGTTAAGGAGCTTTTCAATACAATAATAAACAAGTGGAATACTAGGTAGTTCAACATTTGATATTATATTTAATACATAAAGTTATGCTACCAAAAAAAACTGATTCATGGATATCATTCAACTACCAAAGTGAGTATACTCATTCAACTTGTACACTATTTGAACATTTAGGTTTTGCCAATTTCATGAGTGACAAGTAAGGGTTTCAGTAAAAATTTAAGTCTTGATCAGTAAAAATTTAAGTAAAATTTATAGCCAGTGAAACTTTTAAAGTGCCTTACAAAATCACTCGTTGCCAGATGGGCTTTTAAAAATTGAATATATAAGACAAGAAAATTATTAATGAATGTTGGAATAAATTAAACACAATGAATAAATTTTATTTTATCAATTGAATTCAACCAGCATAATTTTGAACTCACATTTTTCAGAAAATATAATCAAAGATGAGAGAACCTGAATTTGCTCACCTTTCGGAAAATGACCTCATTTTGATTGTCTTGGGTAAGTGCATCTCGTCTCAAACTAGAAGGAGGAATCCATCGCCTTCTGCTGTTGGATGAGGAACGACTATCGTCCCTGAAAAAACATTTGCTTTAAAAAGTTTCAAGAATTAATTCAAGATACTAAAATTGCATTTTAAAGGGTGTACTGTCGTTTTTTAATTAAATAACAAAAAAATCATAAGGCCATCTACAATCTGAATTAATTAAGTAACAAAATAATAATATAGGTAAGCTCATACTGGACTTCATCATGGTACTGGATTAAATTAAATATTCATTAAAAATATCATGAATGCATAACTCAGTAATATAGTGCAGCTATTAGTATTGCAACTGAGATCATGTAAATAATTAGAAAATAACTGTATGCTGAATACTGCTGAACTTTAGCAACTGCTATATTTGCCCATTATAAACTGCAAGCACAGGCAAATGGAATACAAAGGCAGAACTCCAGTGTGGCCCGGGACTGCTATGTCCATAACACAGGTACTTCTAAGGATATACCAGGATATACCTAGGTATCAATGCAAAAACACTAATAATATATAATATCTATCTTAATATACAGCACAGCAGAAGCAATGAAGAGCTACCAACCTTCCTCCCAAGGAGCGAGAAGCACCCCCTTGGCTCCGCTGCCCTTCCGTTGTGGTTCGTGGGAGTTGCACCACCATATAAAAGGTGTCCTATCCAAAAATTCAGCTGTCTCCCTGTACAAATAAAAGGGAATGTTATTATTGGACCAAATTTGGAGGGCTTAATGCAAAAATTATAGCCTAATTGTTTTTCCTTCTTTCAGGATATCCACATATTTCTTTCATTTTGATAGTAGAGCATGGATTATGCATATCTGAATTTAAAAAGTGAAGGCACTCTCCAATTATTTTGAAGAAACCATGAAATTATATTATTTAAAAGTAGGATATGATAATCTTGTTGAAATAATGTTAGCTATATGGCTTTCTCATAATTATCCCATTACTACAAGGCTCTGCAACTACACACACATTCTCTAAGGAATATCTTCAACAATCATTCATTGACATCTTTATATTAAGATGACAATTTTTCAGAGCATACAACCAAGTCCCTTTGTGGTCAACATACACTTCTTGGAATAAGAATATTTTTTGAGAAGTCTAAAAATTACAAATTTATTTTGTAAGCATAGCACTATCATACCCTTCTAGAAAAACATCATGATATGTGCTAACTATTAAGAAAAGTTAGGCTCAAAATAATAACAAAAATGATGGAGGAATTTGGAACATAGAGGGACAATTACTCTACAGGCAGCCAACTGAGTGGCATTTCCATTAATTACTATGGGAAATTGAGTTCAAAAGTTGGAGCTGAAATACATTAGCATGACTTTAGTTTGCAGAAACAATGTTAAAGCTTGAAAAAATGTTGCAAGCACTGAATCACAGGAACATACAGATCAAATTGGGAGAAACAGGATATTAGACATATTAATACACCTGTTCAAACTCCGTTGAATGCTAGTCATCAGGGAAGTAAAATTTTAGGTTGTGCATACAATTGATACAAACAGATCCATTGTGTTGTTTAAAACATATAGTAAATGATTCTGCTGTGATCCTACTATCTAATTGTCAATAAAAGGGTTTGTTAATCAAGCAGCCAGATTCCAAATTAATTGCAAGTATTTCTCAAATTGAAGCCATGGGCCCATGGGTCTTTGGTTTGGTATAAAGTACAAATTTTCCAATCCTATGTTTCATAGGATTAGAAAATTAACTACCAATATGTTGCCATTGGCAAAATATATTTAGGTATACATGCTGTGGCACCAAACTGGATAATTTTGGACAAACCACCCATAATTGAGATATAATTGAGTGATGGAAAACTAGGCAATTGCCTTGCAGGTTGGTAGTGCATCACTATATCTTTAGTATAAAATGTACATATATGGCTTTTTTTTTTCCTGCAATAGTCTAAGATTACAGATTGACTGTAGCTAATACAGTTAATGTTACAGATAATGTTAGCCATTTCAGATGTTAGGCCTAGGCCACCTGGCTGTGTTAGCTGTAAGTAAAGGAAAATAACATATGATCCAAACTGGATTAAAATTTGTCAGAATCCAACAATGAGAGTCTAGACTGATTGGTTGTATGAATTTTGTTAATTGGTTCTCTTGGCTGTGCCCAAATGTGTTATGTTACATAATTATCATTATGTGTAGGCCTACTGGTTAAAATTTAATACCCTCTCTCTAGATCTAGAATTCCACAATTCCTATACAGCAATCCCTTGATTAGCACGGTTTTGAATACCGCGGTTTTGATTAACGCGGAAAAAAAATTTGCAACCTACCCTTAATCTACGCGGTGCCAGTTTTGATTAGCGCGACTTTTTCCACACAACGCATCATTTTCCCGCCTCTAGCCAGAGGTGTTACGTTTGTAACAAAAGTGTCACTTTTTGCTTATTAGATCTTATGTTATTACTTTTGTTACGACTTTTGGAAAATTCGCCAAATGTTACTTTACGAATTTCAGCCAATAATTCTTTAAATAAGGTCCCATTCCGTACGCACTCGTGCTGACTACAGAGTCGGTTTAACCACGCCTTGTCTCGTTAATAACTCGAATGGTCAAGTTCAGCAACGTTTGCCGGTAAGTGTGCCATGCCGGTGCTCTAGTTACTCGTTAGCCTTCAACTGGTCAAGATCGCTGCTCACTTTCATCAAACTTCATAATTTTCCTTGATAAATTACTGTCATAATTAAGGACAAAAAGGGAACGCTTAAACGTAAAAATATCACTTTGGAGACTAAGCTTGAATGATGAATTGAACTAAGCAAAATATGATGAATTTTAGTGGAAAAAAAATTATTATGTAACTTTGCTATCTTTGAGGATTCATTATAATTATTCCCATATATTCTTAAGTTTGATTAGCGCAGTTTTGCTTAACACGGTAAAACTTGGGGATTTATTAACCGCATTAATCAAGGGATTGCTGTACTAATGGCCATTAATAGGGCCATGATATGAATGAGGCAAAAAAAAGCCTACCTATGAATGCAGTCATTTTCACCTATTTTTATTACCTTTCCTATATTTATTTGTTAAAATAAATACAAAAAATGCCTCATTATAGCTGACAATCAGACAATATATCCATGAATAAATAGGGCTACTTTTTACTGTATTACTTTTACCCAATATTTTTGACATAGCAAATGATCATGAAAGTATTAATTTAATTTATATCAATCTCCATTCATAGAATTCATCAATAAACTTTTTGACATATCACAATTCACAGCTTCCTAACATTAATAGTTTGTAGTTATTTAGACACACAGAATTCAGAGAATCAGAGTCTCACTCCCACTGAACAGGAAGTGTGAGATTAAAAGCCTTTTACACGTTTTAGGCTTTTTGCTGGTGCGTATACAACAAAAATCTAAAAGAAAAAACATCTGTTATTAATAAAGTTACAAGGAGAATTCATTTAAAAGAAGTGAAAGCATACAATTATGAATATTAGACGATGAAAATTACTTCAAAGTTCACGCTGCTTAGGTAGGTACCTACGTATTTGTAATTCGACATTCGTTAAGCTTTGCTCGACACAGAACTAGAAGAGCGTAAATAATTGAGCACGTAGAAAAATACTTACCCTGTCTTTATATTTATATTACACTACTAATCTTTAAATCTCAACCAATACTCAAATTTAAATACACACGCTTGTTTTTCCACAATAAATTCTATTAAACTACTCCCGAACGTACAGCCAGCTCGGAAGAGATTGGGTTAATGAAGTAAATGAACGCAAAACATGGAAGACAATCTTTACAAATATTTACATGAGAAATTTCAAACTAATTCGCATATTAGTAAAGGCAGAATTATTCTCATTATATACTTATGATTAATTGTTATCGATTTTGCTTACACTAATCAAAATGTACGAATTTTGCTTAATATTGTTTTACCTCACAAAAAACATTGGAACCTTTTGGGGTCAATGACGTCATTTCATCGGAATTGTACTTCCTCCATAAGTAATATTATAGGCAAACAAATAATTAATGCAGTATATTTTTAGAATGAGTAAAATTCTAGAAAGCGTTTCAGAATGGTTATTTAGAAACCTCAAACTACTGGTTATTTAATATCATTTATGGTGCTAGAATACGAAGTTGAAAAATAAAAACATATCTAAACCAAATGTCACTCGCGGTTTCAAAATTGAACCATGAAACATAAGTTCACTAAATCACCTAAAGTATTGAATTTTCTTGATCGCAAGCTATTCAAAACTTTCTACGAAGTAGGTATAAAGTAGGTTGAAATAATTTGCTCCACAATTCTTTTTTGTTCTATAATTTTTATTGATGTGATAATGAAGACACAAGATCACCACTAACTCTAAAAAAAATTTGTTATTCTTGTCCCGAATGTTGCGCGAAAACAGATACAATGAATGCAATATAAATAAACAACTTGCAGGCATATATTCACTAAACAGTTGAATCTACAATCTAGTATTTCATTTTTTCTCATTCTACTCTACTAGAGTTAAATTCAACCTATGTACTTCTTCTACTCTTTGAGGTGAAGCGGAGTTGTAGATGAAACACATTTTGGCTCGTGATTTTTATAATAAAAATAGAAATGCTGTTAAACTTTTTGAAATTGAGCGGATTCACTCTTGTCCTAGTGCGATAGATGCAAAGTTAGTGTTTCTTGTTTCAATGCAAAGAGTGATTTGAACTTCTGCGAGGATCCTAGCCCAAATTTTACATACGTGATAGTATATATACGAGAGTGGAGTGTGCAAAAGTGGTTACTTTCATTTGAGATGTATAAGCAGCTCAATACAGCTTTAAATTTATAATTCAAGAAGCTGCAATCGAAAATGGCGATTAGGAGTTTTTTTTGCTCACATATCGAATTATCGTCGTCTTAGCGATAAATAACGTAATGTTAAGCTTAAAAAGTTATTTGCAACGAAAATCACTTAGTTCCTGACCTCGAGTTGGTTCAAAAATTCTCAATTAAATGTAGCGCGTGCATTGAAAAGAACTTAGTTCGGGATCTCGAGTTGGTTCAAAATTTCGGGAAAAATGTTCTCGGTTGGATGTTGGGCGTTTCTCTTGCGTCTTTTCCCAAGCAAGAATGGCAGGGATACAATGCCTCCCATCAGACCAACAGTGTTGGCAAAGTCGAGCATGCCAACCGTGAGTAGACTCGGGTGCTGAATGGCCTGAACTAAAGATTCGAACTGAGATGGTTCTGGGTCGTACCTTAGGTTAGATGGTTCATTAACTTGAGGCACAATAATCGGGAAAATAGGAGGAATATCTATTCGGAGGTCAGCTGGGTTAGCACGAACTGGAGGTGCAAAAGTCGTTGATGAATTTAAAGTTGCATTTCCCGTAAGTTCAGTAGATCTTGATGAGTTGAAATCTTGGGTTATATTTCGCAAAATTGTCACTGTGTAGTTCATGAGTATTGGCTGTGCATTAGATTTGAGTGAAGTAGAAGTATTAAGTTCACTTGCATTAAAGTTTATAGTTTTCAGCGGAAGCGATCCTTCCGAATCGCTAACTGAGGCGTTGAAACGACCGCCTGAAACCGAATTTTTATAAAACTGAACAAAAGAAGCCTTCATAGGTCCCGACCCTTGTCTGAGGAAATCTCCATATGCAACATCAGGTTTACTGTCTTCGAACTGTCCCAAGTCACCGAAAAAGTTTAAACGATTAAAATCAGTCCCGTTAACCAAATCTTGTAGGTCGGTTTGGTTGCCGCTCAGGCTGAGGACCGTCGAGATGATGGCATTCACAATCTCACCAGATTTGTTTTTCCCAGCATCGTCCTGCAATAGAGTCACAATTTAAAATGCAATAATTACGCGGAAATTCAATCACGAAATACAAAGAAATAATGACAACTAAGATGATGAGTAGCAAAGGCTGTTGCGCTTTTCAGATTTATACATGCGAACATATGCTTAGGATACATTAATGCGCTGCTTATCTATGGATACTTTTTTAGTTTGTATAGATGCCAATATTATTAATTATCGATACCGGTATACCATTCGATAGGCCATTCTACGCACGAATTTTTTTATTTCATACAAGTAAATTATGATGTGTCAATTAATTGCCGTAAAAAGATAGAAAAAATACTCATAAATCGTTTATTACTGATTAAAATTAATAAGTTGTGAGCTAACGCAACTTTAGTGCTCCCTTTAAATTTCAGCACTAAAGCCAGTAGAAATATCAATTATAAATAATATTCATAAAACACCATGATGCTCTCACCGCTGTACTGTTCATTTCCAGGCTGCACGTTGAGTTCGTTTTAGGACAGCGCATTTAGCAGGACGGAAAAATATACATTAATTAATATTACATATAATCAAAATATAAAATAAATATATACCTGTTTATATACATATAAAATATAAAAAATTTCAACATAAATGTAAAAATTAAAATATACAAAAGTTATTTTTCAAAAAAGAGTTTTTATTTTAACACATAAAAAAGCAATAACAAATGCTGGAATTTATTTAATCTGTCAGAAAATAAATGCAAATTTTTCGGCAGTACCAATAACACAACGACTCATTTAATGGAAACTGAAACAAAACCATTGGTAAGGCGGGAAACTTAACACTCAGGAATGGAAAGGTTATATCGTCCAAATATTGACACACTTGCTGCGAGTAGCACTAATACGTGTTTTTTTTACCAAACTGGGTCAAGATGACTCACACATGGATACAAGTGCATAAATATTTGGACAAAATCTCAATAATTTCTTCCACTGTTCGTGATCTCATGGTTGAACTAGTAATATTAATTGAACTAATATTAATTCAATTGATATTAATTCAACTAATATCAATTCAACTAATATTAGTTCAACTATTATTAATTCGACTAATATTAATTCAACTAATATCAATTCAACTAATATTTATTCAACTAATAATAATTCAACCAAGAGTGATCTCACCTCAAACCGTCTGCACCAGCTATCCGGTCCTGCGGGGAGTACGTCATGGAAACTCGATTTGCATCGCCTCTAGATTCCGCAAAAACCTTCTCAGTTGACTGATACTCATTATCATCGATACTAGTTGCAGTTCCAAGGATTTCATCCGCGGCTGTTACTGAATCCTCGTTGTTTACACTTCTTGAAGTATCGAGAGCCGTAAGATATGCTCGGGGAATTGTATTTCTTTTCGAACCATCATCATTTCCAGTTGATGCTCCAGGTTTTTCGATATCTATTTCAAGAAGCGATTGATCTTTGTAAGATACGAGATCATCTATCTCAGCTGCAGAGCTTTTCAGTGCAGAATTAAAATTTTCATTTCTCGTCAAGGAAGGATGAGCGTCTTCCATAGGAACTAGAGGTCCCGGTAGGATGCCCTTGGTAGGATGTGCAGTGGAGCCGCCCAAACGAGACATGGCTTCTTCGTACGAACTCCAAAAGTTGCTTTTCGATTCGCCAGCTATCCTTTCCAGGGCTGTCGGGAAGTTGAATAATAAAGGTTGTGATATGATGGAATCACTGTTTCGGTATGTGAGGTAATGGAGTAATGGAGTATTTTGGGATGTGTGGTAATGGAATGACTATTTGGGTATGCGAGATACTGAAATGACTATTACGGCATGCGAGATAATGAAATGACTATTTCGGTATGCGAGATAATGAAATGACTATTTCGGTATGCGAGACAATGAAATGACTATTTCGGTATGCGAGACAATGAAATGACTATTTCGGCATGCGAGATAATGAAATAACTATTTCGGTATGTGGAATAACGGCATGACTCCTGTGTTACGCAAGGTAATGGAATGACCATTTCGGTATATGAGGTAGTGAAATAGTCATTTTCGTTTGTGAGGTAAAGGAATGAGTAGCTTGGTATGTGAGGTAATGAATTGACTATTTCGGTATGTGAGGTAATGGAATGACCATTTTCCTTTGTGAGGTAATGGATTGACTATTTCGGCATGTGAAGTAATGGAATGAGTATTTCGGGATGTGTGGTAATGGAATGACTAAATTTTGGTACGTGAGGTAATGAAATAACTATTTCGGTATGTGAGGTAATGGAATGAGTATTTCGGGATGTGTGGTAATGAAATGACTTTTTGATATAACTTGGCCATTCCAATTAATGAGGAGATGTACAGGCAAGACATGTGTAACAGCACATATCACATATCAGCAAAGTAGCCAGATGGCAAAGATAAGCAATATTTTTTCAGTGAGTAGTGGGTTCGAGACTGATGCTAGCTATGAAGTTATGCGACGCCTACAATCGCTGACAGGCCAAATATTGACTATAATCTTAAACACTGATCCAACTTCATGATATTCTTGACACTACATATTCGATCTTTGTCTTTTTCCTACATAATTTATCACACGTTGTCGGTTCTATCTTTACAAACCTGTTTGTATTTTCAATTAAATAAAGCAAAAATATAACAAGGAAATAAAGCAAAAATCTATGATATATGAAATAGAAATATGATTTATGCATTAACTTTTCTAATAAGTGATTTTGAAGGAATACATTTTATTAGTTTCAGATACGAAAATAATAATAAACATAATATTCGTGCGTAAATTATAAGGTCAGTACGAGTCGAACGTTCATGTTCACTCATGTTTCGTGAATGAATATATACGACTGCATGAACGCATCGGATAACGCAACTCAGTATTTTTAGAGTGAAGCTAATACTAATAATAATAATAAATAATAATAATTAGTAATATTAATTATTATTACAAATAAAATTTATAATATTAATATAGATTATTCGCAAAGAAGGGCACACATTTACATTGCGATAAAAGCTTTTTTTAGATAAAAATTGGAAGCTTACCATTTAGCGGTTTCGACAGCGCGGGCGACACAAGAAGAAACAGGAGCACGTAGCGAGGAAATTTCCGAGGCAACATTTTACTATTCAGTTCATAAAATTCAAAATTATGTTCTGTTACTGAGTTAGACTACAGGTAGCATGTATGAAAGAATCGACATGGATGAAACGAAACGACGGGAAACATGTTATATCTTTAGATATTTCAAGAAGCTCGATAAAAGCGAAATATGCAGCCTTAAGTTAGCAACGCTTTAAATGCAAAGAAACTGTATTTGTATGCTTTGCTCGTTGCAAAAAATTAAAAGAGCCTCATAATATCGCATAAGGTGTACTGAGAATATGAAAATCTCAACATCCGTACAAATTAATCAAAAATAATATGATATATTGAGATTGAAGAATCACTATAATGCAAGATTTATCCCATTTTAACGGCGGGTTGCTATATGCATAAGCTCAAAATTACTAGAAAGTTAAATTTAATTCTGATTAACGAATCAATTATTATTAAACACAACAATATCGCCTTTACAGGCTTCTTCATAGCAAAATATATACAATACAAACTGTACCGAAAACTGTACCGATTGCGCCTAGTGTGATCAGCGACATCACATTTTTTAACGTCAATATAATGGTTCAGAAATTTAATGCCACAAGTAATATACGAGGTTGCAGACTATATTCAATATAGTCTATATTCAATAATGGTTTATAAATGAAATTAAATAAAGTTTTAGGTAAGTTAGAAGCTGTAATGATGATAATAAACATTAGCCCATTTGATCGAAAGTTATCGTTTCTCCGAAATTATTCTAACACAAGATATCCACGTTAGTTGCCCTTGAGAAAGTTGTGATCAAGAGATATGCGAGTATTTTCTGAAAATAATCTGAACATAAGATATCCACGTTAGTTACTCTTAAGAAAGTTGTTGTCGTAAGATACAATTTCTCAATTGATCGCAAGATACGGTCCCTTCGAAATCATTTGAACACAAGATGTGCCACGTTAGTTACCCTTAAGAAAGTTGGCCTCCAACTGACACACCGCGTTCTCAATAGCAGGGTCGGCAGGTGACATAGCAAGCCGCTCTTGCTACGACGAAGCGCATGCAAAACTAATTGTTGCACTTAACCGCGAAACCTGCACCAGCTGCAGGACGAGAATAACGGTAGTTTCTGGCGAAAATAGAACACGAGCTGTAGTCTTCTGTTGGGTGGCCCAGTGTTTACAGTTCAGACTACCAGAATTGGGTGAGAGATGTGGGTTCCATCCGAGCTACAGGCGATAGATTTTTAGTCAGAATCGGCGAGGAGGCTGGGCGGTTAATCTAAGCAGAATTGGAGCAGCGAGTTAAGGGTTCGAGACTGCAACAAGCTGTGAATGTTCTGTCATGTTGAGAATCTGTGAACACCCTACGGCCTAATAAACGCTGACACCGCTATTACCAATACTGAGTAGCTTACAGGAAAGTCGGCCGCCTGAGATAAATTAACATCAACACTCGGAAAAATTAATGAATCATATTGTCAAAATAATGAGACTGTCATACCCAGAGCATCAGCAGAGAGCACTGATACGCCCATTTGACTGACCCTACTGTGTTAGGGTAAGGCAAAAAGTACATTACAGTGCGGATAAAGTCTCGCTTCTCACTCTGAGTGCACCCTCATTAGTCACAGTTCGTAAAAAATTTAATGATAAAACCAATGTTAAGAGGAAAGTACAAGCTACAAGTTAAAATTAATTTGGGAGAATTTAAATTCAACGTGTGCAAACTGTTATGGTAGAGCTTCCAACATACATAATATAGGCTTTCCGTCACTTATGGACGAGATAGTGACAATTTAAAAACTTCTTAGAACTTGAGGCAGAGCTTTATTAAATACTAAAAACCTAGACTCTCTCCAAAGACTATATAGGATCAAACCCCCCCCCTGGAATACACGATTGAATTTCACATTAGCGGAACCTAATGTTGGACAAGGAAACCTTATTGCAAACTCGTGAATATATGCGACTGCTCAGACATTCCTCCTTCAAAATTGCTTTCCATGCTCGAGCCGGTGAATGTTCGAAATTTATAACGAAACCGGGGCAATAGACGTCCTTTGAAGTCCCTTCCTCGATACATGATGCCAGTGTTAGGAATCTGTATTGGCGGCAGGCTCTCATTCTCAACTATTAGAATAGAATAGAATAGAAGTGTCGGCGTTGAAGACATAGGCCCATGGCCTGTTGCCGATTCTTGAACTTTTCGTGACTTGATTCACAAGGGATCCGGCCTTTGGAACCCGATCTTTCCATAACTGACGATTGATTGAGATAGCTGCTGGAACTAGGCATTTTAAGACTGAACATATGCTCCTGCATAGCTTCGTCTAGTCTGTTTTTGCAGATGTTCATACTCGGAGCTTCAACGATGCTATCAGGGAGTTCTTGGCTTCCTCTTGAAAGTTCGATATTCTTTCACGTACATACAACTTCCCGGTGCAACGAAGGCTGTATCCAACGTTGATATCGGGATATTCTTCTCTCAAACCACCGCTTTAGCAGGAATCTCAGGAAAATCTTCGACGGGAATAAGTCAAAGAAGACAGGCAACTACAGCGCCCACTTTCACCTGGAATGATCACCATTTATGCAAGAAATAGATTATATAAGTTCGACTTTGACTTGCCACAGTAAGAAAACTAATGGGGGAGTAAGCCAGAATTTATCCAAATAATGTTTCGTGAGTAAAACGACAATTTGAGGGTTCACATCTCAATTGCATGTATCGAGCCGATTATTGCTTGATATAACCAGGAGCTAGACGACGGCCTGATATCTCTGGGCAATCTAACCGCGTGAACTAAAGTCACCCATAGCAATTGAACATAAGAGTACAAGTTAATATGCTTAACAAACATAAGAGTACAAGTTAACACAAGTTACTCGCCGCTCTGAGTGAGGACAATAAATAATAATATAATGCGGCTATCAACCACACAACGAGCTAAGAATAAAGTAGAAATAAATTAGGTGGTGTGAATTACGAGTCTCGGGTAATAGCAACTCTTTTCGAATGAAATCACGAGACGCTATTCAACGGGAACTCAAAACGCCTATCATAATAAAAGACCAGGGAATGCAGCAATACATTCACGTTAACAGCGGAAACCTGGTCAAACAAAAGACGACAGAGGTGCGCTGTTATAGCAAAAATATCGACGTAAACCTTTTGTCGATAGGGTAAGACGCGATAAAACGTTCACGCAATATAATAACAATTGTTACACCATAAAACAGCGTTGACTAGAATGCATAGCACGATGCATTATTACCACTAATCAACGCAGGTACGAAAATCATTTTACTACGAAAATGTTTTACCCAAATGAACAACCGAAAAATAGTGGGATATAAAAAATGAATAAAAAATGCTATAAAAACGCTTGTCAGCAGGGTTTTCTTGCTGAAGCAGCTAGCCATAAAATCCTAATAGTTATAATTACCGTTCGCCGAAAAAAATACTTCTTGTAATTGGTTGCAACGCAGCTTGACATTAGAAAACCCATTCATTTACATCCTGCAGCATTTAACTTTTGAATGCTTGCTGGGACGCGACACTCAGAGAAATAAATAAGACGTTGTCCAAATACCGATGCACAATTTGCCGCTGTGTGGGTCATCTGGCCCAGTTTGGTCCGGAAAAAATCGTATCAATGCTTGAAATAGTAACTTGAAGAAAGTGATACTATTTGGACAATTTGAGGCAATCGTTCTTCTGCGTGTAGGAATAAATGTCCTTCCAAAATGCTGGCATTTTTCTCACAAAATTTATCGCTTACAAAACATAAAAGGTTGTTAATCCAGTCGGTACGCCAACGCTGGTTCACGAACCGACTGGCGCACGTTCATTGATTATTTTGAAGGGATTTTAAATTACTAACTATTCGATAGCATGGAAGATGCTACCCGTTGCAATTTGCGAAGGATAAGGATATATAACATCCACTTACGACTCTTTACTTTCAAAACACTTAAATCAATATGGGCTTCTCCTCTGGGTTTTCATCCAATAAAGCGAACAAACAATATAAATGAAAATTTTCTTGAATGCAATAAACCCACACAAATGCCGAAAAATTACGAAAAAAATGTCTTATTAGAAAGAATCAAGAGCTCATTGCTCGCTTGGCAGCTGTTATCCCAGTGGTTAAGGTTACTTAGCAGTTAATCTATGCGCTAAAAACAACACGTTAGCACAAGTAATCAAAAGCAAATAGTATTAATCGATCCCTAACATGCTGCAGGATCTCTTCCGTCTGTTGTATCTCGGAAGCAAGAAAATATAATACGCTGTGCGGAAACCCCATATTTTCAAAGATATTTTTCATTAGAGTTCAGCCATGTTCGACCACAAATTAAATTCGTAATACAATATGACAGCAAGCTGGTAACCGGATACATTTCAAATAATTCCATTTCATTACAAGAAAGTATTGTTTAATTTGGAAAAGACATCTTTGATTATGAATTTCCTCAAGTTAGTTCTAAATTCGCGATGACTGTTCAGAGAATTTACCATTGAGAACATGGGGGAAAACATTCGCTCCGTACATATAATCAGTTGAAAAAACGTATGAAACGAAAAACATTTGGAAGTCGGAACAAAGCAAGAGCGAACTCGAGGCAGTGATGTGCAACGGAACAGAAGATGATGGATCTATATTAGTTTGATTGTTAAACTAGGAACAATTCCTATGAGTAAAACTAATCAAGTTCATATGTAATATATTCCTTTTCTAGAACTAATCTTAAAAGTTAAATACAAAACGCGAAATTAATACCGGAGTGAGGCAGAAGTTGGCAATTTAATTCCGATAAGATGTTCAAACGTAAAAAAAGTTAACAAATTCAAGACTTCATAAGTTATCGACTTGAACTAATGCTGCTCATTTCTAAACAAAGTTTCAATTATTCTCTCCGTCGTAACTCCAAAAATCAGCACCACAAACACCGAAAATTGAATACGAAACTAACCCTACTAATCACCAGGAGGTTTTTGGAACTGAATATTCCTCTCCTTGATCATTTGGAGCTTTTTCTCCTTGGATTCGGCGAGAAATTTCTCCATTCCTTTCAAAACTTGTTCGGGATCTTTAGGCTTTGATTTGGTCTTGTCCGGACAGTCATCAGCAGCCCACTTACCAAACATTGGATCCTTGTTTCCTTTGGAATCCTTCTTTTCAACTTTATTTCTACGTTTGGAACCTGATTCAGACGAGCTTGATCGCGATCGGGACGAGTCACGGCGAGGGTTGGATCTAGATCGTGAACGTTTATTTCTCCGACGATCGTTATCATGAATGAAACTCCGATGAAGGTAGTCACGGTAATCGGGCCGCTGGTAGCGGCCGACGTTCCACCTCCGTTGCGGAATAAATGGACTCCTAGAGCGCCTCCTTCGTCCGTACGATCTTGAACGTCGTCGACGATCTCGTGATCGAGATCTACGACCACGAGATATAGATCGAGATCTACGACCACGAGACACAGATCGAGACCTACGATTTCGTGATTGCGATCTTCGACTACGTGAACTTGATCTCGAATACGAGTGCGGTGACCTAGAAACCGATTTCGATGGTGATCGACTTTTGTTTTTGGTCAAATGTCTTTTTTTAGACCTTTTGGGCGTTTCAGAAGAAGAGCTGTAACTTGCACTGATACTCTCAGCAACATTCTTAGCTTTATTTACCACAGCCTGCAACTTTTTCTCAGCTATAATCTTTGCTCCAGACCTAAACTCAGACGGTGTCAAAATTGAGCCATCGGCGTTTACCAAACTCGATATGATCGTCGGCGTAATGTTCTCTGAAGTTACCGGTTGAAAAGAGTACTTAAATCCAGATTTGGGTGGAAGCTCAGGCTCTGGAATGTCGAATTTTTTCGCTGACGCGGTTGGATCAATTTTGTCAAACCATTTGTTAGCTTGGGTTGGAGGTGGACCAAGAGGTTCTCCTTCTCTGAAACGATCATGAAGCGCAATTCAAAAGTGGGATCATGAGCTTCATGCCTATAATTGCAATAGAAACAATGTACTGACGCTGAATTGAACGATTCCATGCACAAAAAAACTTCAAACACATGACAATGCAAACAAAAAAACAGGCTCAAGAGAAATCCAATATGCATAATGCACAGTAAATAAAAAAATTGCTATTTCATCACAAAAGCATGAAAATACCAGCATAGAATACTGTTAACAACATAGAACTTACTCATAATTTGAAACAATAAGCATCTTAACGCTAGATATACCATATAATCTCATTACACAAATGTACGATTTTGCTCTTAGCTACCATAAGATCCCACCGTCTCTCTAAACCTACTAGAGACTATTGTATATTACGACAGGTGAGCAATGAATATTGTATATTATGATTAATGAAGAAAATCAACTATGATTATTGTATATTATGATTAATGAGGAAAATCAACTATGACTATTGTATATCATGAGCAGTGAGCAAAATCCACTATAACTATTGTATATTTTGATTCGTGAGGAAAATCCACAATAACCATTGTATATTTTGACTAGTGAAGAAAATCCACAATGACTATTGTATACTATGAGTAGTGTAGGAAATCCACAAGCGACTAGTGGATATTTGCACTGGAAGGAAGTACACAAATGCTAATCAGTCCCACAAGAAAACAGTACACATGTTCTTACTTCTTGGACTGAGTGATGACAGACTGAAGAGCGGACTTGAAGACAGACGGAACGGACGAGTTAAGGGCTGGCTTACAGGAAGAGATGAGAGGTTGGCTCGCTTTGTTTGCCAGGGAAGTCTCAGACATCTCATTACTTTCGATAACGGACTTCGGGGGAGAGGTTATCTTTGAATCGGGATTTTTCTTTATAAGGTATTTTGATGGCATCAGCTCCAATGAAGTTTTTTCTTCTGGTTTGGGTTGCGGAATAAGGTATTTTGCTGGTTTTAACTCCAGATTTGATGTTTCTTCTTCCGGTTTGAGTTTAGGAGTCAAATACTTCGATGGATTAAGTTCCAGAGATTTTGAGTCCGATTCTCGTTTGGGTTTCGAAACCAAGTACTTGGACGGTGTGAGCTCCAAAGCCGGAGTATCCACGTCTTTTTTGGATTTTGGACCTTCATTTGCTTTATCTTGATACTTGGAGTAGTAGTTTTGAAGCTTTTTTTGTAGATCTTCTAGATCAGACAACTGCATCATGCGTCTGTAGGCGAGAATAAATGACATAACTTTAATTAAAATGACACACAATGGTCCTAAATAATGATCGATACTGACAGGATAAAGGAAAATAATCCTAACCTGGCCCCAACTAAACCTAACCCTATAAAGAAAACTCAAATGTAATAAATTATAAAAAGATAACTTCAAAAATCGTGAAATTATAAAATATTTCAACAACGAATACTCACTCGATTTTGACGTTAGATGCCTCGGGATTTTTAGATTTAGTGGCATCATTTTGAGGCGCAATGGACGCATCAGCCCTCCGTTTATTAACGTTCATTACATACTTCTTAGCCAATTCCAGTAGTTCGTCTTCTTGAGTTGATCTATCAGGTTCTGTATTCTCCTCCAAAATGGGTTCCGCAGGAGCATCTTTCTTTTTGACATACTTTGCTATGAGGTCTTCTTTCGAAGACAACTGAAGGATTTCTTTAGAGGACGCAGTACTGTCCGGCTCTGTCTGAGTTATATCTTTTTTCTTGACCAAGTACTTTTCAACTGATTTTAACGAACAATCTGGCTCTGTCTCATCAATGTCTTCAGGTTTTTTCTTGACCAAGTATTTCTCAATAGATTTTAACAGCAAGTCTTTAGTCTTTTTCTTCTTTCTAGGCTTGTCTTTGTCAGAATCTGAACTGTCAGACTCCTTAGATTTCTTCTTCCTCTTCTTTTTGGAATCTTTGACGTCACTTAGAAGTGCGTTGGACTGATAAATCTTCTTGGTTATTTTCTTGAGTAATTCTTTATCGAGGCTTTGAAGTTGCGGATCATCAGAAAATCCAAGTGCCTTGAGACTAATTTTAGGCGGTTTCTGTTGTTTCTTGGCTTTTTTCTTCTTTTTCTTGCGTTTGATACGCTCAGAAATGGAGCTGCCTGCAGAGCTGCTGTGGCTGTTGCTGCTACTGCTGCGACTCGAACTGCTGCTGTGGCTAGCACTGCTAGACCGATGACGGCGCCGCTTCTTTTTAACGTCTGCAAAATGAGATATTGAAAAAATTAGTTTGAATAATATTTATCGTGTACAACTTCAATAAAAGTATCATTTTTTAGGTAAACTGGAAACATTCCATCAAACAAATATAGTGATTCACTGAATTAAATATATTGTGTGCAACTTTAATTAATGAACAATTCGGTCAAAAAACTGAGAGCATTCAATCAAAGAAATATAAAAATGCACTCACCTTTGCTACGACTCTTATTACGATTTTCAGAAGACGTTTTTGGTTTTCCTGTTTCGTCATCTTCAGACGAACGATCAGCCCGTTTGGCAATCTTGAGTTCGTCGTTGACCTCTTGCGAAACTCGAGATTTTGACCCCCGATCCCGATTTTGAGAAAGCTCATCCTGATTTTGAGTAGGCCGATCCCGAGTTTGAAATGGCCCATCCCGAGTTTGAGATGGCCCATCCTGAGTTTGAGATGGCCGATCCCGCGTTTGAAATGGCCCATCCCGAGTTTGAGATGGCCCATCCCGAGTTTGAGATGGCCCACTCCGAGTTTGAGATGGCCCATCCCCAGTTTGAGATGGCCCGTCCCGAGTTTGAGATGGCCCGTCCCGGGTCTTAGACGGTTCGTCCCGGGTTTTAGAAGGCTGATCTCGATTATGAGACGAACGATTACCAGATGAATGATGCCTCTCACGATCTCGAATATCGGGCGATTTTCCCCGTCGGTCGGAGGCTTTCTGTCTCACTTCAATGCCTTTTTCTTCTCGCTCACGGTTACGGGGGCGCGAGGGTCGGTCGTGTCGCGGTGAGCGACTGCGGTCTGCGCGAGATGAACGGGACTTGCGATGACCTGAACTGGGGGGACGTTTGTGAGACGAATCTGGAGACGACGAGTTCGACGAAGAACGTGACGAAGAGTTACTTTGAAGTCTTTTGTTTCTGCAAAGCAACGAAAGAAGTCGTTTATTAATGACATAAGGGGAATCAAATAGTACGATAGTTATGAAACAGTACCTAAATAGAAACTTGAAGATCAATGTCCAGAATAAAATAATGGCAACAGTTGAATAAAATTTAATCTTTTTAGAGGTGTTCATAAAAGAACAGCACAAGTCTATATATTGCTGGGTATTCTAAGCTTGGCCCATGAGACGATCAGATTCAGTTGGTGGTAGCTATGCAGATTTTCCTGATAGAAACGATACATGGAAAAACGCCGACGACCTTGTCACGATGTTGGTGTTGAAGAACTTATGAATATATCAATAACTGAAGAATATTTCGTATAAGGTGACATACATAGGAAAGAATCTTTCACAGATACAGAACTTTGTCCATTTATTTAATATGTCTACAGTATCTAACTCATTCACAAGAAGGATAATCAAATTGAAAAATAGAGATAATTACATACTTTGATCCTGAAATAAAAATCAATTTTTAATAAATGACGAGAAACTTTTCGCGCAACATTTTATTCTAACGTTCATCAAGAAACAATCAGGAATAAAATATAAGTAATAAAAATAATGAATACGCGTACAAGTAATAAATTTATTAACCATAATTAACACAAGATATTGTTAAACAATGCAATTAAATAAGAAACATCAGCAATTTGACAAAATATAGAAAAGTTATACAGGAAAGACCAAATTAAAAAAGACAGGCAAAGTTTGATCCTGAAATAAAAATCATTCAATGAATTACGAGAATCTTTTCTCGCAACAATTTATCCTAACGTTCATCAACAAACAATACACACACAATATAGGTACAAATAAGTAAATAAGTGGAGTTAATCAACAGAAAATAGTTGATGTTGTCGCTGGAATTTTCCGAGATCGCGGGACCGTATTTCCTCAGTAAAGCGAAGACTTCAGCGACATCTGGTTTCTCTGAAATCATTGCATAAAAGTTGGTAAGATTTGTCTCAAAATACTAATTGATAAAAATAGCAAGTAGTTAGACAGAAAAAATAATGATAAGCGTTTGAACTACAATCAGGAATATTCTGCAATTTTGTTAAGGCATTTTCGAAAGGAAAAAAAAATAAATTTTACCGACGCTAAGGCATAATAAATATACATGTTATACATTCCCAGATCTTTACAGGAGCGTTAATCAAATATAGGTCGTATCCAATATCTCATATCTTTTCACAATATGTCAGATGAAATATCGAGAATTTCGAGACAAAGGTTTTCTCTCTCTTTGTGATTTCATGGTGGCGCAAAATTACATGTCTCGACTAATCATTTAATTGCGATGATAATAATTTGATTGCAATCAATACTCGATGCCTACCAAATGCTTTAATCAGTAACCAATCGCTTGCCCAAATAAAATTTGAAGTAGTGTTTCAGTCGGGCCGGCGCCGAGCAGGGTAGGCTAGAAGCAGTGGAGGAGCAGGTATGTCTTGTTTTGGGGCCTAAATGTACAATAAATGAAATACGTGCTACAAATCGGCCGCTCCCGGCAATGGTTGTTTAAATTTTGCTTCAAACCCACTAGTATGCGACAGGCATGGCCGATCCTGCTTTAATCTTGCTCTTTTGCTTCAATTGGCGCAGAATCCAGCTCCGAATTCTAGCTGGGTAATTCTCCTATTAAATTCATTACTCCACGTATCATATTCACTTTTGATAGTGCGCTACTAAAGTCAATCTATCACTGACCAGTTCATTACCAGGTCATGGACCACTAACCGGTTCAGGACCACGCTAAGGACCACTAACCGGTTCAGGGCCACGCTAATGACCACTAACCGGTTCATGACTACGGTAAGGACCACTAACCGGTTCATGACCGCGCCAAGAACCACTAACAGTTCATGACCACGCTAAGGACCACTAACCGGTTCATGACCACGCTAAGGACCACTAACCGGTTCATGACCACGCTAAGGACCACTAACCGGTTCATGACCACGCTAAGGACCACTTACCGGTTCATGACCACGCTAAGGACCACTAACCGGTTCATGAGTTTGTTCAGGAAGCTGTCGACCTTCTCATGATACTCCCGGTCTTCTCGGCTAAGCTGCGTGGCGAACTGAGCTTCACGAGGCACTACAATGAGAAGATATCATGATGTAAATCGAGAACACAGGCCGCATTTGATTGACATATATCATAAGGGTATATCATAAGGTAAATCTCGTATATTAATGCAATCTTGATATATATATCATGGTGGAAAATATCGTCATATACAATCCACTGATACATTGCAACGATTAATTGCTATTTCTCACAGTTGAAAATCTGCTGCTGGATATATAGGATGTCATTTCTTTAAAACAAAACAGTTCAGAATTCGACATTCGCTCATCAATATCACTAAATAAAAGTGAAAATTTTGAGATACGATTACCAGCAAAAAAAGATACTGTTGAAGGAAATCAAAAATTGGAAATTGCTTAGAAAAACTAAGCAATTTCAACATTTAATGAACACTGACAACTCTTGAATATTTGAAAAGATACGGATATTACTTACGAGTCTTATCATAATGACTCATGATGACGTATATCTTTTCTGCATACGTACCAATAATCAAATGCTAACCGAGAGTATAAAAGCAAATAAAATACCAAATAAATTCATGATATTTTCAGTGAAAACGTTCTGGAGGCCAGCTCAATCACTTTAAAAACTCCAATAATACAAGTAAATTCAATCGACGGATCAAATTTACATGAGTGAGATTAAAACTTAAATACTCCAATAAGTGGGTGAGGTAACGTTTAAGCTGATCGATTTAAAACTCAAAGTAGATAAAAACTATTTGCGTTGTTCAGACAATGTTCTTATTTAAACTGGTATTCAATGCTTCTTAGATCCTTAATTCTAAGGCAATAGAGATTGAAACTAAAATACGGAAATCACTTTCAGATATATAAACATAGCTGTTTGGCTTGAAGGCGCACAGCTGCATGGGGTGGGTGGTTAGGCAGAAATCTTTAACGTTAAGTCCAACCACGGTGTTCGGATAATCTGATGTAGAAGATATGCAACGTCATTCCAACGTATGCAGAGGTTCACAGCGCAGAACTGTCAATTGTACCTCGTAAAAAATTAGATTTTCTGAACACCAAGAGAGGAGTTATCGTTCTAGAGATCTACTTGCCCATCCACCTCATTCTGCTGCGCGTCTATATGCTAACATTGTATCGTACGTACTAGCATACTAGAGAGATTTCAAGATTTTAACTGCCACCACTTGTGCTCAAAATTTGAACATCTTGCAATTACAACGATTTAAACGAAAACCTTGGCTAAATAAAGCTTAGTGTTTATCCGATTGAAATTACCAATCAAGAGATTTATACTTTACTTCCCCAGTTTATTAACCAGGTAAGGTTTTAATCGCTGCCATGTAAATTAAGTCATTCTTTTAGATATACCTGCATTCTTTGGAATTGATAGAGCGTTATTAATGAAAATATTGTAATTTGCATTTTTTTGCTTCCACATTCCTGCTCAATTCAAAGTAACGAATTATCTAAATAAAGATATATTTTTACATAATCATGAGTCAAACTCCATATATATCGATAATGATTCACTTTTTTATTCAAAGTATTTCTTCAATAATAAATCTTGCAGCATACGATTGAAATGCCAATACTGAATAAATAAGAAACACTTACCTTCATTCATCACAGAGCCCCATTTCCCATAGCCAAAAGGATGCCCAGTCACATTGGGTGAAGGCCCAGCCATATTGGGTGGAAATTCAGCCATATTGGAGTGAAGTCCAGACATATTTGGCGGAAGACCAGCCATATCTTGCGGAATTCCCGCCATATTGTGAAGCATTCCAGTCATATTAGGAGGGAGTCCAGCCATATTTGGCGGCGGGCCATAAGGCATGCCGTAACTCACGGGCATGGAGGGATACCCAACATTTTGGTAAGGTTGAGGCCCTCTTGCGGGGCCCACAAATCCCGGTGGCGGGACTGAAAACCTTTGCATAGAAACGTCCATAAGAGGCCTGATCGGGTAAGCTATGCTTCCTGTAATGGGCATGGGAGGAGCAGACTGCGGCGCAGGCACCGTGTGAGGCGGCATATCAGGACCCGCGACATTCGGCGCATTCTTTGACGACCGAGCGTCGAGTTCTCGGAGAGCATTGAGCGTTGGTTCGTGATCCGGGTTATGTTCTTTAGATTTCTCCAGGCATAGTCTAGCGCGGACGATATTGCCAAAAGATTTGTATCTGTTGAATGACGGATTAAAAGCATTTGGAAGGTGCCATTTCAAGTTCTTACCAACACATAAATATACAGATATTGTAATCGTTATCATTTTAATGAGACATACATAAATAAATTCACTTAAGAAATATATAATATTGCAGATTCTATTTTCAAATGAATGCACAGACAACTGAAAAATACCTTCTAATGTTTAATTATGTGTTGAATGCATTTTTGGAATAAGAGAAAGTTCATGAAATCTATTCATCAGCTCAAAGAAAAAAATTTGATTTCTCAAAGAGAAATCAAGTTCTTTCAATTTTTATATTAGTATAATATGCTAAGTGTGAACAATATATGAATTCACACACATATTTATTAAATTAGGAATAAAATAATATAGAAATTTATAAAAAAGACATTTGACCATGAAAAGGAAAAGGGAGGAGGTGAAAGAAATTTATTTACATTATTGAATACAATCAGTAAACAGTTGATATCGCAGTAAAATATCAGTAATATATCACCACATAAGTTAAATATTTCCTCTTTCTGGAAACGCCTTACATTTACTAATAACCATGATATTCCTGAACTCACTTTCTGCTCAGCATGATCAATGTAAGCGACAGAACTTCGATTTCATCAGGATTTTTCGGCTTCACGGTCATCGCATTTTCATAGTTCTTGTCAAGCATGATCTTACCAGCAACAGACGCCGCACCACTACCACCACCACCACCACCACTAGCAGAAGTATTGATAGTCTCACTAGAACTCACAGCTGGGGCACTAGAACTAGTAGATATACACCTAGCACTAGCGGTTGTCTTAGTCCCGACACTAGATACTACGGGCACCGTCTTGGCATCAACCTTCTTAGGTTCACCAAGAGAGGAGCCCACAACTGAATCAACAGCGGCAACATTCGCTTGAGTCGCAGGTATATTAATGGCTGAAACTTTTTTCAAATTTGCAACAAGATCAGGCGGAATATTTTCAATCACACCATCAGGAGCAGTCGCAACAGCTGTAGCAGCAGCGGCAGCTGCTGATTTATTAGCTCCAATCACAAATGGAAGGACGCAAGCCGAGTCCTTACGTTTTTTGGTCTCTTGCACAACCTGTTTAATAGATCCTGACCCACTAGTGGTCACGGCTACGCTCGACTGGGTACCAGTTTGCGGGGGCTGTACATACGACTGAGTCGTCTTTATGTAATCCGGTGGTTTCCATGCGTTGTTTTGCATGGCAAGCTTTTGAGCCAAAGGCGATAAAGATTTCTCTCGATTTTTAAACCGTTCATTAGAGGCCATGAGAGAATCTTCCATGGATTGCCTCGATGAACTTGCAGCAGCAGCAGCGTTGAAGGCAGGTCTGGCAGGCACGTGTACAGCAGGTTTATCGTCTTCTACTTCAAACACTTCCTGCTCATCTTCTTCTTTCCTGTTAACATTATTAATCTTTTAAATTAAATTATCAAGGCTGCATAAAATTTATCTCATTCAACAAAGAAAATTCAATCTTTAACCGACTATGTACTTTAGCCTTTTCCGAAAAATAAATCAAATTAATCCATCAAGTTAACAACCTCCAGCTCAATGTATATATATTTTTCACATAAAAATTGTTCTTTAAATTGAATATGATCACATTGAACAACATAATTACCAATAAGTGCTCAAATGACATGCAAGCAACAAAAATTGCACAAAAAGTTGCAGATATGAAAACATTTTTGACGCCATGATCAATGTAAAAACATGAGCTTTAGACTGCTATACTAGTCACTGAACCAATAGATTAATTTCATAAATGTATTCTCTAGTTTAAGAAATAAATTATATACCGATACAAGTTTAAATATTTAAAACTTGCTGGTATGAAAAACAAGATAACGTATCAATGAATGTCGATAAATATCTCAAGAAAATATCAATGAATATTTTTGGGAAATATAAATAAATATTTTTCATAAATATCAATAAATATTTCTTATTTGATGACTAAATCTCACTTGATGTCAAGGGAGAGCGAGCTTTTAAAGCCAGCGCGAGCGTGGAGTTTTTCAATGGCTTCTCTGGAGCCTTGGTGGCTTGCGTTCACCTGCAGGGAGCGATGGAAACATTTTTCTGCTGCACCCAATTTGCCTTCCTGCTCATGCCTGGAAAAAATAGAGTTTTATGAAGAAACAAATTAAAAAAAATCAGTTCTATGAAGAAACAAATTAGTCTTATGAGAAAAAAAAGTTATGACGTTGAAAATGGAGTCATAAGACATCATACACGCCTCGTTTTCCGTTGCTGACTGCCATGAAACTTGAAACATTGAATATACGTTTTTTATAGTCCTTTGTCTTCAAATACGGAGACTGACACGAGTCTTATTATAATAAAATGCCACTTGGAATCCTCATATTAGAATTTCTAAGTCCTATCATAAGCCTAATCGCCGAACAGAGAAGAACAATAATAAGAAGATTGCCATAAGAAATATGAACACGTCAACAGCTACTGATAAGAAAAATTCAGCAGGACAAAGGGGAACTCTATAGTAAAAAATTATACATTTTTTACATTAAAATATTCGTAGCCTACAATGGAGTATGCAAAGATGCTTATGAACATAATTTGCAACATTTGCATCTAACAAAAGATTCGCAATGGACAAAAACGATTCATTTTTTCCAACATATGCATATAGTTGCTGCAAATATGAATGGATAGAATGAAAAATGTTCCCACCGTCTTCCAAGCTCGAGAAGAGTTTCACAAATATATTTCCTGGCGTTGCCATGCTCTGGGTTGTACTTTAAAGCCTTTTCAAAATCTTCAACAGCTTTCTCAAAGTTGCCCATGTTGCCCAGCCTGTAAATCGGAACGAAAAATTACAATGATGGCAAATAACAACGAAATGTATCATCAAAGTAGATGAAGAAATTTATAATAAAATGATTTATAGATAAGGAGTTAAAGATAGACATGAAAGTACAGTTTTTTAACTAGGTGTTACCACACTGGAATGTTTTCATACAAAACGATATGTCAAACGACATTCCAAAACATTCATTTTTTCTTACATGATTAGAGGGGAAGAGATACGAATATAATGTAGATAAGCACACGCAAAAAGAAAATAATTGTTTAAAAGTGAATATATAACACAAATGAGCTTCCTAATTTCCCCTTAAAATTCAGTTCTAAAAAGCTACAGGCAAAAATTTGATACTCGATTCTTGCGAATTGAGAATCAAATTAAGATGCAAGGAAGTTCAACTTGATACATCTGTTGTATTTAAAATATAAAATTAGTGTTTAACTGAGGTTACATGTAGGGCAGTCCTTATAGTAAGACGTTGAATAAACATGTACTAAAGTTTGTAATTGCATTTTTTTCAGTTTTGCGATTGTTATTCAACTCTATGACAAATCACAGCAAACATACTTCTACATTCAACTGGCTTTTGACCAAAAAAATCTATCAGGCACTAAACAAGTACTTAAAAGTCGCCAATTATATCAAAATGAACAATTATATCGACTTAATTTACAACATCAAGCAGCACATATGGGGATTAAAATCTTCACTAATAAACATGATATTGGCAAGTAAAATCCATATAGTTAACAAAAGTTTTTCAACAGCGTACAAAGCTCCTTTTGCCACGAAGGCTTCGACGTTCTCAGGGTCGATGGAAAGCGCTTTGTTGAGAAGCTGGAAAGCCTCGTTGTGTTCGCCTCTCTTGAAGTGCGCTACTCCATCCGCTACATGCTTGTGAGCCCAACACATGAGCTGGTGACGCCGCAGTTGTTTGTAGCAGCTGCTTTCTGGGAACTGTCCTCTGCAATGGGTAATTTATTACTGAATAATTACTTAGAAACTTAGTGGGAACTGTCCTCTGCAACGGGTAATTTCTTACTGATTAATTACTTAGAAACAGTGGGAACTGTCCTCTGCAACGGGTAATTTCTTACTGAATAATATAATAACTTAGTGGAAGATGTGCTCTGCAAAGGGAGAACAGAGTAGTTACTCAGAAACCATAGTTGCAAAAAGAGAGATATTCATGTTGACTTTTCCTATCAGCGAGTGGACTGCATAATATTTATACAAAACCATTAGCAAAATTTTGAACAAGATCAGGCAATTAACAATGAACCAAGTCTACCCTTGTTTGCCACATGTTATAAACCAATGCTGAACAACATACATTTTATTATATATAGGTTTCTGATTATGTATTGATAAATTTAAAAAGAAACACTTCAACATAAAAGGCAGTAATTTGAAAAATTCTACCCACCTTGGTAACAAATAATGAGTTATGATAATACTCAAGTAAAACATCCGAGTAATTATACACCAACATAAACTTTAATGTCTTCAAGGAGGGTGAAATTGGACTGTAATGCCCAGTAACTCATTATCAGTGTCTAACTCAAAGCATATATAACTCAGGGTAAATTTTTCATCACCGCCGGTCAAGAAGTGCCACAAAGCGTACATTTGAGCATATTGTTGCCATAGCAATGTCATGCATATTTCGGCATCTGCTAAACTGTGTAAAATTCCGTGTTGTACGTATTTTTAATGCTAATTGAGTTACATGAGAAAAGTCATTTCAAAATGACAAGTTTGTAGAAACAATTATACATATTTTCATGTAAAATTATCAAAATCACAAGAATTTAGTTAGTTGACTTTGAAAAAAACTATTCTTGTGAGCTGCCTCAGTAGTATAAATAAACATTTGTGAGCTAAAATAAACATTCAATTCTGTAAAATTTAGATTGCCATTTATATGCATGTAATCACAAAGTTCTTTCTTCATTCATTGTTGTGGCCAACATTATCAAATAAATGGTAGTTCATACAAATAACATACCTTAGTGAACTCATCAGCGAGGTGTTCTTGAATGAGAGTTTCAACTGCTTTGACAAAAACTGGACACAGCGCGGGTTACGGAAGGATTCCATTTTTAGAAGATTTGAGTCATAGCTGCCAACACTTTCTTTGGTGTACGACTCCACGGCACTGCAGTAAGAAAGTTAATTTGAGAAATACAAGAAATATTGAAGAGAAAACAACAAGTAAATAAGATGTGAACAATCAGGAGTAAATGCATACAATATATGAGACAGTGCTATCTCAATTTAGACCATGAACAAATAGAAGCCAGTGTAAGAAAAGATGGCAGGTAACTGAAGAAAATGCATTGTTGAACAGAAAAATTTCATGAGAAAGTGACTCAATATAAACAATTAAAAATTTACTTCTAAATTGTCAAAATAGGTCAATTTACAAAAAAATGCAATAATCTTTACATTAAATATCAGAGGGAATATTAAATGCCTACTAGAACATATACCTGATTTCCTGTGGTTTATCTCAAGCCACTTGATAGAAATAAATCCTTAAATAAAACCTTTATGGGGGGGGGGTCCCAACAGCCTTATTTATATTACATCTACAAAACTCACTTGATGATTTCTGGCAGCTCACTCCTGTCGAGTTTACCAAGGCCAATCTCAATGTTATTTTCCACCAGAGTATCGCCCATTGTGCCTTGGACAAACAAATATATTCAATGTAATGTATTTTTGGCATTCAAAAAAATGTTTATATCAACATATATAATTCATCAATATATCAGAAGTACAAGAACAACAGTATATCAGAGCCTATACTGTTGTTGCCCTACAAAAAAAAACATGTTTGTAAGAGTAAGGCTCAACATTCTTCAACAACATATACCAATATATGAATGTTCAATAGTAAAACATTCCAAGGTAATTGGTGATTATAGAGTTCACACAATTGTGAAAACTCCAATTGCTTAAATTGGCATAGAAACATTCCAGGAAAGTTTGTGTGCACTGCACACAAATTGTTACTCAGTAACACAAACTTCTTCATTCAGCAAACTTGTGTCACTAAATGCATAGTTGAGCAATAATTTCAACAGGAAAAAAATATAATTCAGAGATTATTCAGATTTAAAAATTTTCACTTAACTTTTAGAAAAAATTTAGTTCTATGAATGAATAACTAGTACCATTGCAGATGACATAAGCAATCATCACTGATGAAATTGGGATAAAGATGAGGACATGCAAAATATGCTATCAACAGACACACAGGAATTGGCAAACTTCAAACTCAATGAATTACTTCAAAATGGTGAGAGAACAAACAGAACACATTTTTAATAATCATGGAAGAAAGAATATCAATAATCTATTAATAAATAATAAATTAACCATATTCAAAAATATACGGTATATTAATTTGTTGTAATATTATTCTTACATATTTAATAACATATAGAAATACTAATCATTGCTGCAGTATCTCACCAACAATGACCTCAGCGTTCTCGTCACCAACTTCACGTCTGACGGAGAGGACCTCCACTCTGACCAGCGTGTTGATGATCCATGTGTTGGGGATGGATCCTTCATCAATTTTAGGCACTCTTGTTTGGGCTATGTCCAAGTTAACCTGAAAATAAGAACATGTCCCAATTCCATGCTTCAAGAAATAATCCCACAGATATAAAAATAGGTGCCAAATTTCATTTTTTATCACTTCTTTCAAATCTCAACTAAATCTAACAGAAATTCAAAGATATAATATTTTCTTAAAATTATGAGGACAAATGGTGAGCTGAAACATTTTATTTCAGCAAGAAGCAATGTGAACAACATTAATTGAATACTTTTCTCACGTCAATAAATGAACAGCTCTATTTATGCAGGTCATTTCGTAATCAAGGCCAATTTTTGTTTTCAAAGAATTAATTAAGATGAATTTGAAATTAAAATTATCAAGTTATGGTTTAAACAAACAATCTCAGGTAGAGGTTAAAGCAATTTAAAGTTTTTTTTTTCTGTAGCAGTGAACTGCATTAGATACAAAGCAAAAATGTGAAGTTTGCCATTGAGACAATTCAAATAAGTATTATATATATAGATAGATAAACATTGAAAGTTATGAAATAATTAAGCTAATAGCTCCTTAAAAAAATATAATAAACAGCATAACTCCTCATGTCAATAATTTTGCATACAATCATTCACTTACCTTGTGGACAAGAAAATTCTCATATTGATAAGTTCCAGAAAAAGACTTTGGTCTCAAGTTTCATTGTATTAAATACAGGCTGAGGTGCATGACGGAACACTGTAGTACCAACAAGTCTCTAACAAAGATGCACACATAAAATGCACTTCTGCATACACGTAGAAAAGGCATACAAAAGATGTTGACAATATAACAAATCAATAGAACAACATTATCATCGTAGAAGAACGAATGCACATAAAAAGATACTTTTCTCATACAAATGGAAAAGAAGTTGCGTTTTTCATGTACAGGATTGAAAGAAATTTCAAGAATTTAGTGAAAGCTCCTATAATTGACACTTATTTCAAAACAAATTCAAATTGTATTAATGTTTATTAAATATTGAAAGCCTGATTTGCAATTCAAATGTAAACAACCCTTCCAATGCAACATAGTTTACACTATAGTAATGCAGGAGTAAATATAATGATTCTGCTCTGATTCTCCTATTCAATTTGGAGCAGACATAAAAGTAACATAAAAGGAAGGAAATAAAACTCGCTAAATTATTTATTCAGATGTCACACAAAATGGATAAAAAATGTATACAAAAATTATTTCAGAGTTCAAAGGATTCACAATTTCCCACTCGACTCTGAACTTTTAACAATACAGATTAATACTAATACAAGTTTTCCATTCCACAATGGCTCAAATACTTTTCAGGCTCAAAAGCAGGGAAGATTATGGTTGAAGAAGTTTGATAATTAATTTATTTTACTGAACTGGCTGCAGCTCATTACAAGTTTTGTTAAGGCAGGATTGAGAATAAATAATACACAAGAGAAATAAAATTCCTTTGAAATCTACAAGAAAAAATAGATGTACAACCAAAAGTTACATTGACTGGGATATCATAATTGGTCATAAGTCCAAAAGGAATACAAACAATGGTAAATTTAACAGTGAATAACAGTAAATTTACATGAGCAAAGCCTACTTGAGTTTAAAATATTCTCAATCTGTGGACAAAATTTCTCAATTTATTTATATTTAAAGCAAGTTGTGAATAAAAAATGTGCAAAATTAATTGAGAAAGTATACGTGTCAGGTTATATACCAGTACTGACTTCTGCTGTACTGATCTTTATCTATTTTCAACAAACTACATTCTCAATTATAAATCATTAATTATCATCTTACTGTGTTGCATCATCAATGCCATTTAGTTGTGTGTGCAACATTAATTTTAGTTTCAGTTTCCTTCAATTGTATTTTTAGTTCATTTCTACAAAATAAAATATTCTTGAAGCAAGACGCTATATTTGGAATACAGATGTTGCAAGCAGTTGCTTTTAGCTCATATGATGTGATGTGGTGATAGAAATTTAAATTTTTGAAGTTAGTACAATTATATAAATATAATAAATTCTAAGATATATTTACCTCTACATTTAGGCTCAAAATATTTAGTATGCATATAATTTCCTACCTTATTACAACTGAAGCTATTAAACTTTACCATATTCCAATATTATCTTCCTGATATTAATTGAAGAGATTTTGTATCATGCATGCCTTAAAAAAATGTTTTGAAACCACCGATTTTTGATGTTTAAGCCAGAACTTTTCCTTCAATAATTATATAAATTCTTGAGAATAGCATGACATAATTTCTTTGCATGGAAAGACGGCCAGATGATTAAAATATCAAGTTACCTTGCATAGTGTCTTGCCTGCCAAAGGTTACAACAAAATTTCGTACAAAAATTTTACTCCTAATCCATAATATATATCAGAACACTAACTGCAAATCAACTGAGCACTCCCTAAGTTTATAATAGTTGAACATTAATTTGCCAGATCAATTCATAGGCCAAAAAAGTTTCAAAATATTTTATTTATAAAAAAATTAATCATTATATTCGATGTGTCTTTTATCTATCAGACTACACCAATATTTTTGATTAAACTCAATGGCTGCATAGACACAGTTTATTATTCGAGGCATGAATTGGTTCTTTTCAGACTAAATTTATTGTTTGAAGGTCAAATTGATTGGATTCAGATGACCTTAAATATTCAATGGACAATACGTATATTTTTTCCCCAACAAGACTTTGTTTTCAGAGACCACATTTTCTTTCACTTTCAACAGCCATGTTTGACATGATCAATGTTGTTTCAGCCGTAATTCATCAATCAACATTGACATCTTTCAATAAAAATTTTTAGATTTCTTATTTCTAGCCTAAATCTGTTGAAGTCATATCAGAGTCAGTCACTTCTTAGGAAAAGTATCAATTTCTTGCTTGCACTCATAGTTTAGTAAATATTTCTCCAAACTGAGCAGTTTTTCATCATATGACCTTATGGCAGAAATAATTGTTAAGGTATAAAAACAAAAGTTATAATATAATCTACTCGCATTGATAATAAAAGTTATAAGATAATCTACTCACGTTGATGAGGAGATTCTTTATGAGGAGCATGTGTGGCCCAGCATCTCGCGACACCACCCTCATGGGCTGGTACTTGCTGCCACGCCCCACAGCCAGAGCTCGACACACAAGTATGTCTCCACGCGCAAGGTCCTAGGGGACCAAAAAATTAGAAATTCATTGCTAAATAAGACCGGCAAACAAAAAAAAATCAGGAATTCCATACCAAATAACACTTGAAAACAAAACAAAAAAAAAAAAAAAACAAATTCAGAATTCCTTGCTAAATAACACCCTTAAACACAAGAATCAGAAATTCCTTCGTAAATAACACTTGTAAATAAAAAAAATCAGGAATTCCTTCCTAAATAACACTCATAAAATATATACTTGCTAATAAATAATTCAAATAAAAATGGATGGAAGGAAACACATCCACCTGTAGTCAAGGATGAGAAATACTTAAATTCCTTCATTTGGGAGGCAGACAGATAACTTTGCAAAAAATGAAATTTCTGAAGTTCAAGAAATTATGGTCCCTATTAAGCTCTGTAGGTATATATCTTCATGAGCCTTATCCTTAATTTTGCACACATATTGAGAAATAAATCCAATCCTGTGATTATATTCAAATCATTAAATATTATTAAAATTTAACATTCACAATTCATGATTTAAAAAAGGCTAAAAGCAAATCAATTTTGCTGCCTGAGTTATAATTTTTCCTAACTGATCATATTTTAAGTGTCAAGTATTCTAGGGGCACTGCTATGCATGTGGGTAGATGTTTAGTGAGGCAGCAGCATATTAATAAGCCACTATCACAAACTAGAGGTTATGGTGGGATGTCTTTTGCTAATATTTCAAGTTCACATGCATAACCACATGCCAGCTAAAGACTAATAATTCAAAAGAGGACTGGGTTAAAGATAAGTCTTGTGAGGTATATACCGTATGTATATATTTGATAGATATGAAAAATAAGCGCAAGCTATCAGAATGGCTATTAGAATCATAAATTAGGATATTTCTATCCAAAGAAAGAGTTAGAGAAAGTCAAGATCTAACTTCACTTACCCTGTAGAACTGCACTGCCTTCATTTTCTTCATTTCTTCATTCATTTCGTTTGCATACAAGTAGTACTCCAACGGTGGGAGAAACTTGTATTTATCTGATAGGCAAAAATAAAACAAATCAACTTACAAGTAAAAATGGACATTAGTCCCCTTAAAACAGAGGCACCAACATACACATACAAGAAGCTTGTGAAATTTATATAAATGATATACCTAATAGTTATTTTCAACACAAAAAATAATTAACAAGTCTGAAATTAAAATATGAAATAAAGCAATGTAGGTATTTAAATATTGTTGGCAGCTGTTAGAGAGAGTGACTTCTCATAAATAAAAATCAGGATATAAAAACAAGTCATAGGATATTGTTCATTTTCTGAATGTTGCTGTGATAACAGAAATGGGAAAGAATTAACCAACCTAATTGGTTTAAGGAATCATCTTAAAGATTGACTGACCTTTGTATCCATATTTGCAATGGTCTTCTATTTTTTTAGTTGTGACCACAGGTTGGGTGAACAAGTAGTCAGCATTGTTGAGGATGAAGTCAACTGATGTGGTGTATAGATTCCTTTCATTTACATCCCTGAAAATAATCGATAAGCACATCATTTGGAATGCTGAGGAAGCTTCAAGGAAGGTTCAATGTAAATAAGTTTTTCGAGGCAATGAAAAATTTACAAATATCAGGAAGAATTTATTTTTTCATTATATTCAATGGGACTGAACCTTCACTTGGAAAATAAATACCCATTTCTGTTTTCAAAAGTCAATAAAATATACTGAGAAAAAAGTTAATGGAAGTAATTATTGAGGAGGAAACGCTTACACAAGCTTCTTTGCTCTGGCTTTAAAAGACTGGTAGTTAATGTCTCTCATAGCATCATAAGGAAGCAGGTGTCGCTTGGTGTCAGCTAGCTGCTTCAACAAGCCATGACCAAAATAGTTTATTGTGCTGGACACAATGCTGTTGTTTACACCTGGATCTGTCCATGGCATAAGATTGTCAACGCTCTGCGCCATGTTACACTTTCAATAGAACTTCAGTAGTTTTCATCACTCCCTTTGTGAAATTAAATAGAAATCTCTGTAAAATGAGAAACATTATAAATTAAAGTTGTCTTCAGGAAGAGCAAATAAATACAATGCAAAAGTGTGGCTATTAACATCAAACTTGTCAACCTCAGCATACAGCTATATGTAGGGTATATAATATATACATATTCAAAATTCCAAGGAAGAACCAATAATAGCTAAAATACACACACACAAGCACCAGAGCATGTTTTTTTTTTATACATGCCAAACTGATTTTAGATCAAAATAGCAATTGAAAAATGCACACAATGAATTGTCACTTTCTGCATTTTTCTATACAAAGACCGCATTTTCTGAGAGACCATTTCATGGTTCATAGTTAAATCTGCTTCACTTTAGTTTAGATTAAATATTTACCATACACTCATTGTTTTATACAGAATTCTTGCTGCTTCACAGAAATAAGCAGAGAAATCTTATAATGAACCCACAGAATTTAAATTAGTGTTAAGATTGCTTTTCAATTGCATAGCTACATGCATGGCAGCAAGACCAAGAGATACAATGTCATTATCACATGATAAGTACAAAACTGTTTTGATTGCACTAGAAAGATGTGATTCAGTTTTGTTTAAAAAATGTGAGTGTCTGTCTCTATTGAAGGTCTTTCAAGATTATCAATTATCTTTTTCATGTCCTTTACCTCTTTTGTATCTCTTTTGCGAGAGTGTCTCTATTGAAGGCCAGCACCTCTAATGCTGCTGGCAACAACATCAGCATTGACAGTAGCTGTGGCTTGAAGAGTAGATATTGTTATACTCCATTTTAAAGCAAAGCTTTCTTGCTATTTCTGAAGCCACAAGATTCTGATAGATTAATTAATTATCTAATTATCTGAATAGGTGCACATTTGGGCGGCAAGATTCCAAATGCATAGAAAATTTGTCACTGGAGCAACAAGATTTGATTTGTAAGTAGGAATATTTCAATCCTGGCTGGAGGCTAGTGTGGAAAATGTATATTCTCCAAGCCATGACTAGATTTTTGGAAACACAAATTCTTACACATATTTGAACCACTAGTTCCATCTCTTACAGCTGAATTCTTTTTCCAGGCTGCAAAAGCCATTTTTGAGCTGCTAACTCTTTTTTCAAACTGTGTGGTGGCAGCCATGTTGATCCATTCAGGCAGTGGTGGCCATGTTGATCCATTAATGCTGTGTTGGCAGCATTTATCTTTTTACACAGTGGCAGAGGTTTTGACCTATTCACATGGTGATAGTGGTTTTTAATCATTCACGCCATGGTGGCTGTGTTGATCCTGATCCACTCATGCAGTGCTGAGCTGGTGGCAGTGTTAATAAATTTATATGGCAATGGCAATGTTGATCCACTCATGCAATGGTGGGGATGTTGATCCATTCACAAGGTTGTGCATTGTGGGAAATGAGAGATTTTTTCAGACTTCAGTTGAAATTGTCTGACCTAGTTTGAAATTTTGTGAAATAAAATATACTGAACACTCAGAAAAGTGGAAGGTCAACAAAAAAAAAAAACTCTTTCACTTGCCACTATGCAGTTATGGGCAGAGGTGGGCAGCAGCGCGCTACATTTCCAGTAGCGGTAGCTGTAATGGCACTACATTTAAGCAATTGTAGCGGTAGCGTTAGCTACATATTTAAGTAGCAATAGGAGGTATTGCCGCTACAGCGCTACCGCTACATTTATAGATAAAGCCTTTAGATTTTACTTAATAGTATTAAATATTATTTAAAAACCAGCATGATACATACTGTAAAATGGGGTAACTTAGACCACTTTTTTTTATAAATGATGCCATTTTTTTACTAGCTAAAAGGCTGACATTAGGTGGTCTAAGTTACCCCATTGGGGGACGGTGCCCCCCATTTGCAAACTATGACACTTTCCTAAAATTTGTCATTTGCATATGTAACTAGGAGAGTTCTACTACAATGCATCAAAACCTAGAGTTATTTAACCAAAAAATAAAAAAATTGGAGGGGGTACTCTGACAGGCTTTAAATGATAGCTTTTTTTCATGGGTCACATTTTTAAATTTTTTAACCTATTAGATATGCAAACTTTTCAAATCTTTCTATTGTGTTATGTAGCCTCAGTATTAGGCCTTTAAAGCCAATTGACAAAATTTTTCAATGTCAACTATTTTTTGAGTTGTGGGGGTTTTTGTTAAAAAAAACGAAAAATGGTCTAAGTTACCCCGCCGGTCTAAGTTACCCCATTTTACTGTACAGAATATAAATTACAGAATAAAACTGTACAAAAGATTTTGTTGTAATGTTGTCAACCTCAGCCTGTTACTAGTGTCAACATGTTAGTTGTTACTTGTTAAGTTGTTACCAGTTACCACTTGTTCTTGTTCCATGCCAGCTGCCACCACATGTCCACGACCACATCACGGACATCAGCCACCTAAGTTCAGTTTGCTAACAGTTATTTTTATGTTTCACCTTCCCTACATGGATGTCTACTTTCATCTACCAATCTCAAAAATTATCCACATATATATATAAAAGACTGATTTTTATATGTATATGTGGATAATTTCTTAGATTGGTAGAATGAAGTTCACATCCATGTAGGGAAGGTAAAACATAAAAATAACTAACTTTTATTCACTGTATCTAACATGTACTATTTCGGTTAGGTTGAGTGCAATAAAGTTGCATCAATATGTTTTGAAAATATTTTATTATCATTAAATGTTTATGAGTAAATCCCAATAGCAGAACAATAAATATTTAGAGGTTTCCAATCATTTTGGCCATTGTAGCGGCTAATGTAGCGGCGCTACATTTTATTGTAGCGGTAGTACCCACTACATTTAGAGCATGTAGTGGTAGCAGTAGCGGCTGCTACATTTCAGACTTTTTCAGAGTACTGAGAGTAGCGCTGCCCAGCTCTGCCAAAAGCCTGCCCCCAAATATGGTATTTGTACTACAGTCTACATTACTGGTTAACATAATACTTGAACTAGCTTGACTTAATACTTAACTTAAACTCAATCTTCATTCATTACAAAGGGCCTGTATATTTTCAAAAAATCCATTAAATAAAAGAAAAATGATAAATTTCAATCAAACTACGGACAACTAAACAATTCTATAACAAATCTATGGTACTATACAATTGAAACAGTTTGTCCACTTTTGATCCTACTTTTCCTTTATAGTCAGTCATCTGGCAGAGCCCTGTATCTCAGGATCAGGAACGCTTTCCAGTTTCCACCTTTGGTGGAATGCTTTTTTATAAGTGAACTTCCATTCTTAGAATTCCACCTGGTATAACTCAAGATTTCAACCAATTTTTATACATGATAATGCTGGCATCCAATATCCATTGAATTGAATTGTTGGTGTAGTAGGCACTCAAGCCTGTTCACCCGCCTTGTTCGCCCTCAGCATAGCCGCCCCCATTAGGTTACACGCGCAGATGGTGCACTCCAGGTGACTGCAAACTGAAAGGCTAGTGGTAGCACTCAGGATCGAAAAGGCCCGGTTGGTCCGCCCAGCAACTGTCAAGCCTGCTCTTGAAAGCGCTTACAGAGGGGGCAGTTACGACGCTGTCCGGAAGGCCATTCCATACTGACACCACCCTCTGGGAGAAGAAGCTTGATCTCACATTTCTTATACTGCGTTCTTTGGCAAGCTTCAGGCTATTACCTCGTGTATCCCTTCCGCGGTGAGGATGCAGCTTTGGCCGGTTGGCATTGTAGGCTCCATGGACATACTTGAAGATTTCAATCTTATCCCCTCTCAGTCTGCGGTGCTCCAAGCTAGGCAGGCCCAAAGCTACCAAACACTCCAGGTAAGGCTTGTCTTTGAGACTTGCGATCAGTTTGGTCGCCCTTCTCTGGACATTTTCCAGGTTGGTGCGGAGGGTCTTGTGTCGCGGCTGCCATACTGAATGGTGACAATGGTCCATGATACTTTACTGGTCTACTTATAGGCTAGGACTCAAAAATTAACTCGGAGTCAAGGAGAGTCTGAAAAACTCCAGGGCGCAGAGGGTGGATGCAGCGTTGCCAATACATGGGTTTTTAAGCCCTTAGCGTCGCCGGATAATTTTAAGATGCGTCGCCGGGTAATTTTTAATGAAAAGCCATTTATGCTGAGTAATGAAAAACTATTTACAAGCTACAAACTTATTTACAAGGTTGCATGCACATGTTACCCCAAATAACTAATTTTACCCTATAAACAGTCTGATTGTACAGCAAATGTCAACTGAACAAGTCAGCTGACTTTCTTCAGAAGTGCAAAAGCTTTTGCCGGTGAAGGTCACAGAAGGTGTGTTTTACGATCGGTCCGTAAAAAAGCGTTGATCGGTTCAAAATGACATAAGAACAGGTTCTTTTGAATAACCTATGGATTGCCACCATGACTGAACATGTGATAATGAAGTCTGACTGCTCTAATGTGACCGCAACTACGTAATCGTAAATTCGTAAGCTTGATGTTTACATTTTTTTTGGCGGGAACTCATTGCAATTTTGCAACTGATTTCCGGACAAGCTTCACTGCATCCTGATCCATCCGAAATATCGGAAACCTTACTTTTTTTTAAATAGTTGGCTGAACTTCTGAACTTCACTGAAGACTGACAAATATTTTAAATGCAAGAATTTCAATCTAAATGTGTTGGCAAGATCTTCCGAAGCCGAAGGTGTAAATTTTGCTACTGAAGCATTGCAAAAGATCTTGCAATATTCATCCACTCTCTGCACAGTGGGAAAAACTCTCTGCTTTTCCACTATGCTGATGATGATTCAGTGGTAAACAATCATTACACTCAGAGCTATTTGCTCCCATGTATGGTGGTAAAAAGCCCTAGAAATTTAAACCAAGATGTTGTCATGGGCTGGTTAGTGGAGTAGTGGTTACTGACACTGACAGAAGGCTTTGTTTGCGGCAATGTGGCCGTTTGTTGGCCTTACAGAAATATGCTAGGCATTTCATTCAGGCTTTCAGCTTGATTCAGGGTTGATTGATTTGGATTAGCAATTACTAATTA